AGTCATTATAGAAAATAACAAATGTCTTAGAATATCTCGCAAAAAGAAATGATCCAATATTAGTTAGAGCTAGTAAGGCCAAACGCTCCGTTCTTGAAGTAAAAGTGCGAGCTTTGCGCCAAAGTGACGTCACTAGAGTGACGTCGGAGGATCGGCGCGGCGAGAGATACTTCAAAGGAGTGAACCAGCCCTTCTATTCTCTTTAGCCCTGATATTTTATCGCAGATCAGGTTCTCGAATTATTAAGATTGAGGCCCGATGCGGTAAAATCCGATCATTAGATCGAAAGTTAGTCAGGATATTCTGTTTCTTATTTTGCGCATTGTATAGTTTCGTTTCGATAAAAAAAAATATACATTTAAATTCCTGTTGCTCGGTTAAACTTAATTTAACGAACTTTTTGAACTTGTATAACTTCCAGCATGCCCTATATTAATAAATTTAAATAAACATATTATAACTAGATAAACATGGCATAACTACAAAACGTAACATTAAAATACATAGCATATCTGCATAACATAGCACTGAAATACACAGTATAACTACATAACATAGCATCGAAAAAATTTGTTGGGAAAGTTCTGATAAAATAAACAAATACTGTATCAAAATATATTTTTATTACATCCTGTGGAGTTACTTAAATTCAAATTTTTATAAAGTGAAAAAAAAATCTAAAACGCATAAACCCTAATGACCAATATCAAATAAATGTTTACAAAAAATTATTATTTATTCACTAATAACTTATTCTGTTAACAAAAGAAAAAATATCTAAATCTTATATTTCTTTTTTTTTTCAGGTTAACATTCTATTGCCAATAACATTCCTAATAGTATGTGCCTTTTTAGTCACATTTCCATTCTATGTGAGTCCATGGGAAACTGGTATGGGCATTGCCATTACACTAACTGGTATTCCAGTGTACCTGATTACTATATCTTGGAGAAAAAAACCTGTACTCTACCAGAATGCTATAGGTAATGTTATACAATTTATGTATGGAAATTAATTTCGTTCTTTCTTTATATAATACATTATAGTTAAGAGAAATAACTTAAGCTTTTGTTTTAAAAAAATAGAATTTTTTAATTTTAGTAGATCGAGACTTTTCATTTGTTTTTCGAATGGTTTCAAAAAATGTTCATGTGATTATGGTAATTAAGTGTGTATATGTCAATTATGTCATGTGATTATGTTATATTTAAGGAATTAGGTAATTACTTACGAATAATTTCCTTTTAAGGGTTTTTCTTACAATGAGTTTTTTTTGTTCATTTTATTTTGATTTTTTTTAATTAAAATATAATCTTATTTTTTTAACAACTGACGTTGAACAGCCGACCCGATTCTGAGTGTACGACAATCAATGTTCTACTCGTTCATGTTCAACTTGTAATTTTAAACCCAACCCAGAAGACAATGGAGCTTTTGAATCAAGCATTGGGACAAACTAGCCTTCGTGGAAGACTTCTCGGTGGAACTTACCCCTACAGGGAAAAACACGGAAACCTCCCATGGTTAGCCCGACGGCTAGACGATTCTAACTTATAATCCGTCAGTCATTGAGGATATTTTACGTCAGCACTGTGGTCGGAGAAAAATTCGTATAAACCAGTCACGGCTGAGTTTCGAATCTGGTTCAACTCATTGGAAGGCGAACGTTTTATCTAATAAGCCATCGCTGCTCTTTGTTGATGTACTAAAAAAACACGTGTTTATTTATTAGCATATATAACCAAAAAAATACATATTTTTAAAAGCTTGAAAATTTTAATTTCGACAGCTGTATTGAAGCTATACAGCTGTCGTTTTTGTATACCACGGAGGTTACTGTCCCCCAGTTGTATAATAAAAGATTTAATCCATTTATTTGATTTATTTATACCATAGTCTCGGAGAGAAAAAAATACCAAAATATACTTAATTTTTCAAATGCTATTTCTGTTTCCTCGATTTAAAATTCTGAGATAAGTATGTAACCTTTTAAAAACGTCTTTAAAAATAAGCAATTCGTAGTTTTCATTCTAAATTTTTTTATTTATTTCTTTTATAGGGAAAATAACTGCACTCGTACAGAAAGTGTTATTAAGTGTTCCTGAAGAAAAATATGACTAAAAACGTTCGAATACAATGACTCCATGTCATAAGAACATTTGGAACAATTTACAGAATAAGTGATAAAGAGAATAAGAAAGCATTGAAACGCTGTGTTCAGGAAATGAAAAGTGGCAGCTGTAATACTGACAGCTGAATCGAAAAGAATTTACAAGTAAATCTTAGTTCCTTAAGAAAATTATGTTGAATGGAACTGAAAATTGAACAATTTGTGGGAAATGCCTACAAAAATAAATGAAAAAAATATTTAATATAAAATCTAAAGATTTGTTATACAAATTTATTTTTGTCATTTTTTGATACCATGTTGATTTTACAATGGTTGTATTAAGCACTGTATTTTAATAAATGATGTTTACTTTAGTCATATTTATTTATTATTCATAAAAAAAGCAATAAATAGATAAATTACATGAAACTTACGAAAATATCATTGACTATATTTCTATATTTCTCTATATTTTAAAAATCTTGTTTTACTTAAGAGGTGTTACTTGTTTTACTTAACATATAGAGATGAATCAGATATTTTCAATAAAAATTATCTGAAAGAAAACAATGAAACCGCTCTGTAAAAAAAGAAACCGCTCTGATAATTCTATGAATTTAAGGTCTAACTCGATTTAGGCATTTTATCCGGAATTTGATGTTATTACATATTCCTTCAAATGTAATTTTTTTTCTTCAAAAATTAGTTTTTATACAAGGATTTGAAGAAAAGAGCTTTTAACATTTTATATTTTTGAAATATAAATCTCTAAATGGTATTTATAGTGTATTGATTAACAATAGTCTCCCCCCCGCCAGGCGGTTAGTCTGGCGAAAGATGATATCAAAATTGATGAAGTGTTGCTAAAATAATTTTAAATTTTAATGATAGTTTTAATAATCTTAAATAAAATAACTAGTTGACAAAGTATATGTTTACGATTATTACATCACAATGCAATAAATGTAATTACAGTCGGACTTCTATTTAACGAACTTCCATTTTGGCGAATTTCTCCATTTTGCGATTTTTTTCGAGGAACTAAGAACATTTTGGAAATTTCTTTGTAAATCAACTTCCATATAGCGAAGGGAATTTTCTATTTAACGAACTTTTCTTCAAGATCCACATTCCCTATTTTTCAAAATATTTCAAAACATTTCAAACTTGTTAACTCATTTTATGAAGGAAATGACCTTGAATTGATTTTCAAAGTCACTTAACTTTTAGAGAAAGCGGTATAAAATCCCTTTCTTTTTGTTTGCATTTCAAACGAAAAACAAAATCAACGGATTTTATCAGTAGCAATTAAACTTAAGAACGCATGTGGTAATATATGTTTGAAATTACTTTTATAATAAATGCAGCAATAATTTATAGATAAATTTAGCTTTTTTTTTATTTACTTTAAAATGTATGTAGCAGGATTGTGTAACACTGGATAATGTTTGGCTCTATTCTTTTATGGTTAAGATTTATAAAATAAATAGTAGATACTAGTGGTAAAGGTGTATCAATTGCTATTTTAATTATATCTAGTGTTTATGAGTTTAAAACCTGTTTCGTGTTTTTTTAAGTGTTTCAAGAGGTGATTTTCTATTTAACGAATTTTCCATATAACGAACTTATTATCGGGATTTAACGACTTCCTTAAATAGAGGTCCGGCTGTATAAGAATTTAGAAAATTTTCAGAAAAACGTAAAATTCCTAAATTATTTAGTTAAAAATTATGAAGCGTTAAAAAATTTTTACTGTAAATATTAAATCGATATTGGTATTAGATTCTTCTTTTAACAAAATATTAAATGTAAATAAAGAAATTTCAAAAATCTTAAAATTAATATTGGTAATAGGCACTAGTGTAATTATTGCAGTTTAAATTGGTACCAAATATACTAATAAAGGTACTATGTATTATATTTTTGTGTATTTGGTACCTATTATAAAAAAACTGCATCAGTACTGTGAAATTTTAACATAGGTACTGAGATGCTTTTTCTGCCCCTCTAAAGGGTCAGAACCAGAGAAAATCGCTTAAATGTGGTATATTTCGACTATCATGAGTCAGCCTCGAGCAACAGCATCATCTTAAATTGTACTGAATACAATTAATGTTTAATTTGATGAGATCAACTAATATAAACTTGTTTCGCTTAATCTAATAAAAGTAAAGTCACTGGGAAGGACAAATTATAAAAAATAATTGGAATTATTTTAGTTTTATTAATTGTGTTGGCGAATGCCTTTTCCAATTTTGTGCAGAATTTAGTAGCATCCCTTACAAAAGACAGGTATTTCAGCTAATATGTGTGGTTGGAAATATATATAGTATGATCTAGGCTGGCTCCCTTGGTGATCAGCTTGGTAAAGTTTGAGAATTGTCTACAACATATATACTGTAATGGTAACCAAGACGAACTGTATTTGAATATTTTAATTTTTCAACCCATCCAGCTATTTAGCCCACCCAGAAGTACTTTGATTTCAATTTTGACTATTTTCATGAGACGTTGCAACATTGTTAAAGTTAAGTATTGAATTATAGCAATAATTTAAAATCTGTTTAGCACCCACACAAACTACTATAAGCAGGAGTTCTGGACATTTCAGCTTAGTAGGTAGCACGAGTATTAAAATTATTTTCATCTCTGTCGTGATAAAAGATTAGGATAGAAAACTCGTCCCAATGCTAAATTATGTGCTGTATAGTTTGTCTAAGCTAAGTTTGAGGATGTTTGTCTAGCACCCACACAAACCACTACAAGCATGAGTTCGGGACAATTTAATAAATAAAACCAGCAAATAAACAAGTGAAATGAAAACTATTATTTTTAAAATTACTATTGGTAGTTAGGTACTTCATTTACGTCGCACTAGAGCTGCACAATATGCTGTTGAGAACGGTCTAGGAAACATCCCCGAGGATGATACAAAGACATGCTATCGCAATTTTGATCCTCTGAAGAGGGGGTGGGGTGGCTCCCCTGCTTTGGAAGCCGATCTGGTTAATTTTTTAAGAAATTTTTAACTATCATTTGAAAAATCCTGTTCATAAAATTAAAGATATTTATTTTAAATTGCTTGAAGTAACCTTTCTTCTCCATGAATATGTATAAAAAATGATTAAATAAATAAAAAATGTAGGCAAAAACCTTTTTACAGAAAAACAAAAATTTATTAAAAATAGTATGTATATCAAAAACATTTTATTAACAATGATAAAATGAAATGATTGCAAATATATGGCTAAAAACACTAAATAGGACTCATAGAACAGTAGACCAACAGCTAGTCTACACAATTATAAATCACAAGTTTTTCCGACTAGTTGTAATTTCAACATAAAGTTATCTTGGTTAAACAAAAAATGAAAATTTGTTTAATAGCGATAAAAACATTTTTAAATTGTATAAAATACAAAAATACATGCAGGGTAAGGTAAAAATACAAGTTTTGAGGTGGGGTAAACAAAGTTTAACATACTGTTTTCCAATTTATACAAAGACTTAACAAGACCAAGAAAGGGAGACAGACAGCTAGGATAACTAAGTCTGTTTGCTTTGTATTCTATTATACATTTTTGCAAATCAGTGTTGGAAAAAAATCTCACTAAAACTCCAAGGCTGAATAGAACTCAGAAAACTGAATTCAGACACTGAATCTATACAATGACAATTAAAAATCACAGTTTTATAATTTTCAGTGACTAGTCCAACTGACTATAAGCTTAGTAATAATTTCAACACTGACATCTGAATGAAACAAAAACACAATTTCCTTTGGTAATAACAATAAAAAATATATAAAAGGTACAAAAAACAAAGTTTAACATACTATTATTCAATTTACAACAAAGACATTACATGATTTACTTTAGAAACAGAGACTAAAGACCATTCAAATTTATTCAACCCTCCATTTTATGATTTTCTAATCAAAAATGAAAAGTCTTCAAATGCAGTTCATGATTAAAAAATAAATGCTAAATCTGTACTTTATGGATGGTGTTTTCAGTAGATATGTAAACAATAACAATCTCGAGCTGTATGCCTGCTCTAGTTCCGGTTAGAAAGTTTGCAGCAGCTTACTACATGTTATTTTGCAAGGCGATATTTTCAAACGGATAATTTTGTTTTCAATAAAAGAAATAAATTAGATAATTTCTGAGCTCAAATCTGCCGTATTTCTATATTAATGTTATTATCTAATTCTGGTGAGTTTTAAGTGAAAATTTGTTTTAGTTATTTAGAGATATATTGTTAAAAAAGGTGACATGGTTGCTAGATTTTGAATAACTTGCTTTTTGGCAGTCTTGATTTAGCCTCTTTCCATTTGTTTATTACTGTTTGTTCGTGTTGCAAGCTGTGCACCATCTTATGTTAGTGTTAGCATATTGTTCGAGGAGCAAGATTAATTTATACATTATAATTCAGGTTTAAATTTGAAAGTTGGCACATATTATTGACATGCTGTGAGCCAAATGGCTTTGAAATACACCGGGAACAGTAACCCGGAGGTATAAGCAGTATACAGCTTTCAGCGCTACCTAGTGTAGAAAACACCATCCACTGAAATACAATTTTATACATGATACTCAAAACTGAACATAATTTTTGTTAATTTAGATCTTGGCTAAATCAGCTGGTTTTGACAATAAATATACTGATTTTAAAACTGTAATTAGTTTTCTTCTACTTATCACGTTAAAATTTTTTTATCATAACTTAAACTGTATGATAAGAGAACTGCTCATTAAGACTCAAATTATGAATAAATATGACATATGGATAATATAGGTGGAAAATAAATAATTAATCGATAAATTACACAATCACAAACATTTGACATCATGAATTATTAAATTTCCACAAAACACAAGTGAATATACAAATCATGATAAGTCATGAACATACTAAATGTACAAAAGCAGCAATGTGTCTGATAGTATAATCAAGCATGCCTTGTTTGCAACAAGTTTGATTGACATAATTCAAATGACAAAACTTAAAAACTGATTCAGAATAAAATTAAATCAACTTAAATTACAAATATTTAAAAAATGTATGCTTAGAATCAAAAGAGTATCATGAAAAATTAAAATAACCAAAATTATGATACAAAAAAAAAATACAATAATTGGCAAAGTTTCCTTTATTTGTAGTGATAAAAGAAAATTATATGAATTAAAAAAAAAATTAGAATTCTTATAACCGTATTATTCTAACAATAAGCCTACACAATGACAATTAAAAATCACAATTTTTTTAATTACTTCTGACTAGCCCAATATTCTGAAAGTTTAGAAGTAATTCTGACACAACAATAACACTAGATTATTTTGTAATTATGATAAAAATTATTTATAAAAGGTAAGTAAAACGTAATTCAAAAATTTATATACAAATGCAAGCATAATAAAATATTAATGTAAAGATTAAAAGTGGGAGGAACGAAGCTTGTTACACACACAATTATTCAATTTACTCAGACATAACATAATCCAAAATAAAAAATTTTAAAAAAATCTAGAATAATCACGTTTGTTTTCCTAATCTCCATGCAGGGTTGAAAAAACTTTACTCCAATAATGAATCTATGCAATGACAATTAAAAACTTTATAACTCTCTGTGATTAAAACTTCCTAGAATATTAAGCCTGACATCGTCTCAAAAGAATACATAAGCAGAAGGATACACCGGAAGTTTTAGGAAGCTTTTTATTGTTGACATTCAGTCAACCATCCATAAGAAAAAAAATTATGGTGAATAATGAGACTGAAGAGGGAGAAACAAAGTTTTAAAATTATGTTATTTAATTTATACAACAAAAACATAACCCACTCTAGAATAACAGAGTTAGTTTCTCTTTCACATTTTTGCTATTCAAGGCAGAAAAATCTTCCGATGTAATTCTTGAAAAAAAATTAAAGCTATACACAATTGAATTAAACTTAAACTCTAAATTGAATTTACAAATTTATAGGAACACTAAGGCCCAATTTCAAATACATTTTATTTATTTGGATAATTCAGTTTTGATAAAAAGCAAGCATACTGACTTTGAAACTGTAATTTTCTTCTACATATTAAATCAATTTTTTTCTTCTCTTAATGTTTATATGTATGATGAGAAAACTTCTAATAAAAAGACTTAAAACATTACAAAGAAACTGACATATAGGTAACGACACATAACAAATATTACAATCGCAAATAAGAATGATGCACATTATGAATTAACAAATAACAAAATATACCAACAAAAAAAAAANAAAAAAAAAAAAAAAAAAAAAAAAAAAAAAAAAAAAAAAAAAAAAAAAGACAAGTGAATATTCAATTTACAAAAATGCATGTGACAAATCATGAACATTAAAAATTTAGTGAGAAAATACTCAAAAACATCCTTTTTTTACATTCAAACATATCATGTTTGATTGGTATAGTTTTTGAACTCAGTAACACAAAATTTTAAATTGAATTAAACATGTTTAAATTATAAAAAATTAAAGAATGAATATCTAGAATAAATTGCATACTATCAAAACATTAAAATCTCCTTTATGAAACAAAGAGTAAATATATATATATTCTATAATAGATATAGAATATAATATATTTTATACATAGAGAAAATATTAGTACATATAATAAATTAATTTGTCATTTTACACATACTGGAACCGCGTCCATGATCTTAAAATTTTAGGCAGATTAAAATCCCAATGAATGCAATTAAATACTTTTAAAATATCCTAAAAAACTGGTTTTATTAAAGGAAAAAAACTGAAAGTAAGAAAAATAAGTATAAAAAATAACTAATATTAAGTAAATATAAAAACTAATACTAAGTAAGTATAAAAAAGTAATACAGTCGAACTCGTTTATAACGAGCACAAAGGGACCGTAACATGTACTCGTTAAATCCGAGTGCTCGTAATAAATGGGTCCTTAAGGCAGGCGTGCAACCAGAAGAGGGAGGTCAAATGATTAAGTTTACTTAAAATTTGATTAATACTTACTTACTTCAAATGCATTAATTAATTTAATAAAGTACTTTTCTTAATTTAATGGATAAACTCAGAATATCCAAATTGTTCAGCAAATTTTTCTGCTTGCACTTTCAGAATAGATCCACTCACAGGTAAATCAGCACTACGTTGCACCTTCATCAATTTCAATAACGCTTCGTCCAAATCCTCTTTCGAACACTTCTTCAGTCGTTTACAGTCTGTTTTATTTTGGTTGTATGCATCCATTAACTTGCCTTTGTTTCTAAGCAGTGTGGAAACAGTAGATGAAGATAATCCATACCTTTTGCAGATTTCGACATTTTTAGTACCGTCATCCAACCTATGCATCCAACTCGGTAAAATTTTTACTTTTTCGTCAACCGATAAAGCTTTAGATTAGAGCAATAAGAGCAATTAAGTTTCAGTTCGCGGTTTTTTTTTTTGGATTTCTTGCTCATTTCTTACCATTTTGAAGAAAAAGATAAGACAGAAAGACTAGAACGATGATAAAAAAGATTGCAAGACAGAAAAATATTGCTCGCTAAAACCGGGTCTTGCTTGTTAAAAGCGACTTCTGTTCCATAGACTTAACATTGATCCAACAAAATATTCTCGTTTCCCTCGGTAAATCCGAGTTCTCGTTAAATCCGTGCTCGTTATAAACAAGTTCGACTGTAGTACAAAANATGTAATAAAAAAAAAAAAAAAAAAAACAGATTTTAAAATGAAACACCTTGAAACTTACAATACTGAATTGAAAATTTATTTAGAAAATCAGTTTTCCTTTATTTTAGCTTAGTTTTCAATTAAAGGTACTTAGATAAAATGCAAATGAAGGTATTTGTATACATTTACTAAAAAACTTAATATTTAATGATCAAATCATTTTTTAGTTTAAAAAATGAAAAGTATGGAGAACAGGAAAAGGATCATCCAATTGCATAGATGTTTAAAAAACTTTAGTTAGAAAATAACTGTGAATTATGCTTGATACTAAAATGTTCCCAATGTTTTTTAAATTCATAAAAAAAAATTTAAAAAAAGGGAGGGGGGATTTGCTAGCTAATAAAACTTTAAATCATATTTGTTCTAATTGAATCAATGAGTTCAAAAACCTGTTATCTCCAACAAAACTAATTTTACATGAGAGACAAAAAACTGAATAGTTAAGTATCAGCTTGTTATATATATATATATATATATATTATTAATTTTTTGTATTTATTTATTTAAAATTGTTCCATTTATTTATTCCCATTTGTTTTGTTACGCATTTAATTGTTTTTGTCAGATCTAAAATAAAAAAGTGTTTATNAGAGAGAGAGAGAGAGAGAGAGAGAGAGAGAGAGAGAGAGAGAGATTTTTTTACTATGCATAACATACTATACCAAGTAGGTGGGCATAAATTTTTTTATATCCTATCTATGTCAGCTAAACTCAAAAATTTAAAAATCTCAATTCTGAAAAAAAATTGGAGATAACTGGTTTTCGGACTCTTCGATTCAGGTAAAGAGATCTCTTAAAACATTTTGGTTAAGCATTAATTCTTTATCACAAAGGCATAGCTTTTATAATAGTGCAGTAATAAAATGCATGATTTACCCCATTAAAAAACTATAAAAATACAATGAATAAAATGTTTTGCAACTGGCAAAAATTCAGATCTCGTTGAATACAATTATAATTTTTCTGGATCTGATAAAATACATCAGATTTTTAATGACAGAACTTGTTTTTTTAAAGCATACATAGCAAAAAATTCTCAAACTACTGAACATAAAATTCGATTCCATAATCTCTAAGCTATAAAAAGATTAAAATGAATATAATAATTTATCTTCACAAATATTCAATGTTTTCTTTAGGAAAACCCTTAAACACAAAACAAAGCATTGCGAGTAAATTATTATTATTCAGATGAGAATATTTAAATAAAGACATTGCTTGCAGTCATAACCTTTTGATATCTTAATGTTAATCTTTTGTAACAAGAGAAATGCAATGCATACCAAAAGTATTTGTATTCAAAACTATAGGATAAAAATTAATTTCTTTATCAGTATAAACTAATGAAAATACAGGATGTTTTGTAATAATATATACTTTTAGAATCCCTTAAAAAATGAATTTAGAAAAGTACATGTAGTTGTTGTTAATTTACGTCGCACTAGAGCTGCACAATGGGCTATTGGCGACGGTCTGGGAAACATCCCGGAGGATGATCCGAAGACATGCCATCACAATTTTGATCCTCTGCGGAGGGTATGGCACCCCCGCTTCGGTAGCCCGACGACCTGCGCGCGAAGTCGAGCACTTTACGGTAGCACAGTTTAACGAGGACCAATACCGCACACCCTCGGTCCCTACGCAGACTGATCCAAGTGGGTCACCCACCCGCACACTGACCGCAGCCAGTGATGCTTGACTTCGGTGATCCAATGAGAACCGTGTCTTAACGATCAGTCCACTGCGGGACGAAAAGTACATGTATTAGAATTCGTTAATTAATATATGAATGAGGGGAAAATAAAAACGGTATCAAATTCTGTGGAATCAGTGAGGGACAGAATGAAAAACATAATAACTAGTTTGTTGTGTTATACAACTTTGGCTAACAATCACATTTCAACTTGTCTCGCCTTTTTCAATAGCAATTTTCAAAAGTTACATTAACAATTTTTTGCTGAATTAAAATTCTTGACTAAAATTTTTGAATAGTCACAAATGAAATGCCATGTATGATCTTAAATCTGATAAAATTTGGAATTGAAAATTGAATGTAAAAATTTGATTTTCTCAATAAGTTAATAATTAAGAATGTGGGATCAAATGATGAAAACACGAATGATGATGAAGTCCTAAAACCTAAAAATCTATCTCCTCTTATATGGGTCATATCTCCTTTGATTATTATAATTATAATGTGTACGTGCCTTAGGTTGAAAGTTTTCAATAGAAGATGGATAAATGTTCTCCCTGTTTTCATACCAATTCCAAAATGATGAACCAGGGTGTCCAGCATTGTTTGTTCTGGAATAATTGTTTTGCATGTGTTCATTAACAGGCAACATGTTTCCTCTATAGTCTACATCACTAAAGTTATTGAAATGATCTGTTTCATTAAATGAAGGAGATGCACTCCAACATCCTGAATCCAAACCTGAAGAAGAATAAACTGGTTCCACAACCCGATTTGCACGATGAGAATTCTGAAAATTACATTTTACTTCAAAATTAGGACAATTACGATTCCTAAAAGGAATGGGACTCGTCTGAGAGTTGTTAAATTTTTGATTTCTGAAAGGAATGGGACTCTTATAAGAATTGTCAAAGTTGTGACTTAATGGAGGGTTATTTGCATATGTAGGCGTTGACAGATGAGAGTTTGCAAAATTGGGAGTCGATATCAGCCTTTCTCTGAAGTTTCCTGAATGAACTGGACTGGCATTTGGGAAAACATTGGAATGGATTTCATCGGAACAGAATGAATTTTCTGGCTCATAATCAGAAGCATTAAAGTCTGTATCATCGAATTTCAGCGATTTTGATATATCACGGAAAGGAACTTCTGAAGTCTGGACAGGATTCCCTATTGCACTTCTTATTTTATTATTCAATGGAGTACTATCACTTTGGTTCAAAAAAGACTCTTGATTTTGCCAGGAACCTTGTTTGGTTCTTTCAAATGGTGTCCAGGCCTGAATTGGGCTACCATACCAATCTTGTACAGGTCTGTGTGGTTTTATCCACACTTGAATTGCTATATTAGTTTTATAACAACTGGAATATCCAAATCTATTTGTCTGAACTAACTTGTTTATATATCGTTCATGGCCTATTGGACCATACAAAGGCTCCAGCTCGCACTCCTCAGCTATTTTTGTCAATAAATATTTAACATCGCCAACAGAATTATCAAGGAAAAACACCATGGCACCAGGTTTCATTGAACTGAATATCCTCTGAAAATAAACCATTAGGAAACACAAGATAAGTATAGAGATAAATAACATGGCTATAAAAAAAAACTGAAAAAATATAGGTGCTCAATTCATTAAAAAATTTTTAAAAAAACTATTCTCATTATTTACAGGGTATCTGATACATTTTAGATCTTCAAATTCCGGACTTTTCATGACTAATTCCAAGAATTTTCCATGACTTAACGAAGTTACTATTTTCTAAGACAAAAACACAACAATAAATTTAAAAAAGCATTATAGTAACCAGGGGTCCATCCAGACATTTTGTGAAAGGTCCGGTTTTCGTGAAATTGTGGAAAAATTACTCACATTCTTTCAACCAGGGTCCTGCTTTTATGAATTTGTCAAATAGGGATTATTTCAAAAAACTTTTTTTAAGGAGTTTTTAAATTGTAAATAAATACAAGATTATGCTCAGCATTGTAAAATTACAATAAAAAAAAATTAAATTTTCAAGAATAAACAGCTATTGCAGCTTCAAAATTAGAGATGCAACATACAAATATTTGGTATTTAGCCTATACTGCTGAAAGCAGAATATTCATTTCAGACGAATAATGAAAGAATCCTCTGCCAAAGAGAAAACTTAATTTGTTTACATCCATCTTTCTTGTTTTCTATCCTGGGAAGGGTTTATTCAATTAACAAAACAATAATGAAGATAAACAAATTTGTGAAGGGTCCGATTAAAAGAAAAATCATTTTGCGAAGGGTTCGTTTTTAAGTTAAAATATTTTGTGAAGGGTTCTTTCTTATGAAAAGATATTTTGTGAAGGGTCCGTTAACGGCCCAAATTTCTTCTAAACAGATCCCTGGTAACATTCACTGAAATGATAGGTATAACCAAAACTGTTATACTCTGCATCTTCATATTTATAGATTTTAAATTTAAAAAACAGAATAAAGAAAGAGTTAAAGCAATAAAATAGCTGAAAAAAATACAAAAACAATTACTTTTTTTTTCTTTTTTTCTGCAGAATTACATTCTAAAGATACTTTTCTTGTTCATGGGAAAGGAAAGAAATACTCCTGATTTTTCTGTTCTCATTTCGGAATAAAAAAATTTCGTCAATTACTGGCTTACTTAAGCTAAAATTTTAAATTGATAAAATAAAAAAAGTAAAAATTCTGAAATCACAGAAGTTTAAAAGACAATTCATTCTCGAAATACCTTTTCTTTCATTTTTAAAAAGAACACCATAATTTTTAAAGAACATGATAAAAACATTCTATATTCTAATAAAACATGACTGTGAGTGGGGATTTTGTTACACATTCAGACATTCGAACAATTGGGGGGGGGGAAATCAATTTTGAAAATTAGATTTTTTGTCGACTTAAATCCATGAGTTTCCATGATTTTTTTTTTTTTTTTTTTTTAAAGAATTAAAATCATGACATTTCATGACAAATTTTGTCCAATACTGAAATTCATGACTTACCATGATTTTTCATGACTTTCCAGGTGCGCGGATAACCTGTATTTATGTTGAATCTTAAAATTTTTTAGCTTTTTGATAATATTACTTTGAAATACTAAAATAATATGCACACAAATTTCTCCGTGGCAGAATCACAGCGACATGTTTTAAGGACATGGTCACAGAATATTACTGAGTTCTTGCAGAAAGATCTTTCTTCTGAGAAGTAAAATATTTTGGTTTTCTTTTCTGCAAAAATTTTGGAAAGATTTTTCTTTTCTGCAGAATTATATTCAAAAGTTGCCTTTCTGGCACTCAAGATTTTTCTATTCTCATTTAAGAAATATATATATAAAGCACAATAAAAACAAAAAGGATAAAAAGAAAAAATAAATATAAATATATATATAAACATATATTCCTAAATCAGGAAATTTTAAAAGATACTTCACTTTAGAATTTATGTTCTTTCCATATCATTTTTTAAAGCACACCAATATATTTTAATAAAATATGACTGTGAGTGGGGATTTTGTTACAAATTCAGAAAGCCGGAAAAAATTCTGCCACAGGGAAAAATATTGCAAATCAGAACAGTTCTTATTTTAACAAGAAGAAATTTTAAATGTTTATTAGTTTTTATTCAATTGAATAAACAACTGTTTAAAACATAAAAGAATATTGAAAAAAATCTACTTTGTAAAAATTAAAATTGTTATTACTTACAAAATTAAACACATACTTCCTATATTTTATGATCTTATAAAATAAAAAACTAGTGACATGATGAAATTTCCTTAGTCAATGAAAGTTTCAATCAATCGAAAAATAAATTAGGTAGGTATTGGGAAAAAAGAGAAAGCATTTTTTAGTTTAGAAAGCATTTTGAATGCTCTCCCTAAGCATTTTTTACAGGTTGGGCTGACCTAGCTGCCTTTTTTAGAAAAATAAGTTGCCATTCCTTACACTGCCTTTTTACTCATATTCCATTTGAAAAAATAACTGTTCAAATAATAATTACACACTGATAAAATTAACTGTGTTTATAGGTTCAATTCTAATTACTATCACAAAAATTTACTTCATTAGGATTATTCTCAACTGGTTTAATAAGTTTCTCTTTTCAGAAGATTAATTAACATTTTAAGCGATTTTAAATTCTAAAATGCACCATTAATGTTAATTTTTTCATAATTTTCATTTCAAACTATATAAAAATAATTAGGTTTGAATAAATAAAGTAATAGGTTTATCAATAAAAAAAAATTTAGCTCACTTTTTCTGTAAAAAAAATTATGCTCAGAGACTGTCTTTTAGCATGCCCTTTATTACTTTTTACAAACTATAATAATTTCTCTTATTTCGACAATGTGTGAGAACTACTTTTTGAAATATATACATAAAATATAAGAGGGTAATTTAAAAATTATAGAGAATCAAATTCAGTTATTACATAATATTTTACAGTGTTAAGTGAATGCCCTTTCAAAACTCAAAGTGCCCTTTTCTCTGAGGATTGAAGATTCATCCTGCCCTTTATTTTTATTCCTAGTGGGATAACTCAAAAAATATATCATTGAGCAATTCTGATTGGTGCAGTTTAAGCAGAATAGTCAAACCAAATTCAGAGAATGTTCATTACATTTTTAGGAATAAAATAATTTTATGTTTCAATCTTTTTTAGTTATAGTTTGTTATTTTTAGAACAGAAGTGCTTCATATTTTGATAAAAGCATTTTCATTGAAATAAACCTTGAAAAGTCACATTCACATAGAAGCTGTCAACGGTTGTTACCATTTTTAATTTTGAAAAAAATTTACAAATTTTTTACTGCGCTTGATAATTCACTTTTTTAAAGTTAAAGGTTTTTCACTATATACACCAAAACAAGAGAATGAGCATCTTACTATCCGTACTTTTCAGTTAGCCAACTGTAAGTAAGCCACCAAAAAAACATAGACCTTCACCAACTTTTTTAATTATTTTTTTTTAAACAATAAAAATTAGATAAAATGAGAATATTTGTGTTCTGTAATCTGATACAAAAGCTACAACCATCAAGACACCAAATGGATTTTATAACTCTCAAACTTTCTGGTTTTCATTAATAAAAACAAAACATAAAAAAATTTATGCTGGCTAAATAATATAGCATACTACTCCACGTATAAAGAAATAAAAAGCTTCTCATACTTTTATCATTGAAGGTGTGTCAGCACAAACAGCAGCTGAAACGAATTTAACCATGTTGAGAATATCAGCAGAGGAGATTGCTTGTATCACTTTTTCAGAAAATTCATCCAACAAATTAGCACCAATATAATTCCAATTAAAGTACTGCCCACTGAAACATGTTTTAAGGATACCATACGAGCCTTGTTGTGTTTCCCGAATCAAAGAATTAAGAGTACTATTCCAATGAGGCATGCAGTCAATCACATTGGTATAAACTTGGAATGGACCAAAGGCATTATGTAATGATAGCACGATTCCAACAATATCACTTCCAGGTCCCCCACCTAAACTACAAACATTAACACGACCAGAATTAACAATCACATCGTAAAAGTAATTGAATTGGAGATCAATAACGCGTTCTGTGACATCCGAAACGAGTATCGTGTGGATCGGAGCGTATTTGTGTAAATACGCACAACGATAAGCTGGAGATTTGAAATCGGCTGCTTCAACATAATCCGATGATAAGTTTGAATTTTTATGGAAATAAGCTTTTTTCATGTTCTCAATACCTTTGACAACGTCTTTTTCGCTTACATTGTGAGCCTTCATATCATTATGCAAGACCCATGCGTAAAGTCGGTTAATACAGATTGTTTTATCCATTTCTAGCAAGACAAAAAAAGAAAGGATAGTAAAAAATTTACTTATGTCACAATTAGAATATAAAAATAATTTTAAAAATGTTTAAGAACAGTTTAGATGTTCGGCTTTATCGTCATTGGTTTTCGGATATTAAATTCGGAAAAGCTTCCCATTTGATCTGCGCGCAAATAAAGAAGACGTTTCGGGTTGTCTACTTCTGCTTCATTAACGGATTCTCTGAAGTCTGAATCGGAAGTAAACAAAAAGACAAAAAGGTTACATCATCCATCTCATTGCGCATACCCGAAAACCTGCGGAAGAACCGTTCTCACACTGTAATCAAAAAGTTTGCGGCTGCGATTGAGCACCTGAATGGTGAAATATATTCACTACGTAAAAACTTGTCAATCAAGTTCACATCTGCATTTCCATAATATTATCAATGAACTTTGCGCGTAGATGAAAATGCTCCTAAACATTTGTTATTTGACGAGCATTCTGCGGTGGGTGTTATTGGGATGGGTGTTATTGGTCCTCGTTAAACTGTTCTACCCAGTTCTACCGTATGGTTCTACCGTATTATGGTTCTACTGTAAAGTGTTTGACTTCGCGTGCAGGTCGTCGGGCTGCCATCCCCTCTACAGATGATCAAAATTGTGATGTCTTTGGATCATTCTCATGAATGCTTCCCATACCGTCGCCAATAGCCCATTGTGCAGCTCTAGTGCGATGTAAATTAACAACAACAACAAATCATACTAGATGCAAAAAAAAAAAAAAACATATATGTCAATTCTGATTTTTCTCATTTAGTGTGACTGGTCTCTTCTTTGGCCGAAGAGCGGTATTGCCCTCCAAACACTTGAAGCTTGGGAGTAGTTTAGCTTCCGATTATCTTCGAGATTGGAGTCGGAGTCCTTTTAATGGGGAGATTTTCGTATCATGATCTGTGGGAGAATAATCGCCAAGTCTTGGCAACTTCAGGGCAGTGGCCAGCGGTCAAGGCGGGTAACCGCTTGGAACACCAGGTTGGCTCTGAACGAGACCCAGATTTAATGCTTTCTAAATTACTACTTTTTTTCTTTTATAAAATTTGATTTGCTTGAAATATGTATTTATTAGTTTTAATTTTTTTAAACTATATATTCCGTGAAAGTTTTAATACAGATGGAAAGTTTGAAGCAGAAATGCCACTTTTTTTAACATTTGAGTTCCGCATTTTCTTGTTAGGATATGTTCTCTAAGCTATTCAACAAGGGGACTACTATACTAAGTTACCAATAGTAACCTACATAGTAGTCCCCTTGTTGAATAGGTTAGTATTAGTAATACTAGGTAACTAATAGTAACCTAGTATTTCTTTTATGAAAACTATACTAGGTTACTATTAGTAACCTAGTATAGTAGTCCCCTTGTTGAATAGGTTACTATTAGTAATACTAGGTTACTAATAGTAACCTAGTATTTCTTTTATGAAATAATTTATTTCTTTTATGAAAAAATTTAAATGGCAAAGGTCAAGTTATCAGGAATGTTAATTTATGCGAGGGTACTACGTTTTATAAATGAATCAATTATGACGTTTGTCAGTTCCACAATTAAGCCAATGATTTACAGAGGTTTCTGCACAAAAGTCTGAAAGGGATTTTCCATTTAGGTAGATGTTCATAATTACGTTTATAACGCTACTTGTTTAAAACCAGTACGTTATGTGTGTTTTTTTAAAGTTCATTGCTGAAAAGCCCCTTTCAAGCGCTGCATTACTCCCAGACAGAGAAAACATCAATTCCACCATACAAAGTATGTTGCTGTATTTCCAGATTAAAGGGTCATTTTAGAAGTGAAGCGCTAGACTCTTGTAAGATAACAAAAATTTAAATTGTATCACGAACATTAACTGAAAATGGCCGTCCGCGCGGACGTCGGATTCGAGAAATTCGTTGTCCGCTGGGAATTCTTGACCGCCGAGGACGGGCGGTTTTTCGAGCCCTGCTTATTTTAGAACTATGCCGGTATATCAAAACATTTTTTTTAATGCATTACTGTAAGAAAACAATCAAACAAAATAGTTACACTTCATATTTAATCTCTTTGAATCCAATGCATCCAAATTTTCAGTAAAATAAATTGAATCGTTTGGTTTTAGAGCATCCTTCTAAGAAAGCTTGATTTTATACCTACTTTACCTCACCTGACCCTATAATTTATTTCCACTTCCCCTTTACGGAATTGACTACCCTTTTCCTTTTTTTTTTCTTCTTAAATTTGTAGCTAGTTTTAAATGTGTCCTCTGTACAATATTAAACATGCTTTAAGAGTGTGTTTGCTTCCTTAATTTTAATTTTATCAAAACTATTTTGTCCTTTCCAAACACAACTAGAATCTTTGGCAGTTCATTTTCCTATCTGTGACAATTTTCATAGTTAGCATGGGTGCAATTTCATTTATTCAGATGTCACAAGTTACGATTATTTATATAAAAAGTAGACGTTTGAAAAGCATTATTTTCATAAAAATTTACTTTTGAAATATTATACTATTGCATGCTGTAGTGTGAAACTCAGATTTAATGACGTAGAAATATGATGACGTAGAAATATGTCTATATTTCTGTCCTTCAGTCAGGGCCTGATTATCGCCTAGGCCCAATAAGCATGGGCCTAGGGCCCATTTAAGTCTCAGAGCCTCCCATTAAATCTGAAGGGCCTCAAAAATTAATAAAAAGTCTAATGGAAGTTGGGATAGCTTTGTGTTGGTTTAAGTACTAAATAAAAAAACAATTAAAGCTTACAATAAAAAAATAATTCATCTAATCAGTGATTTTTAGCAGAAATCACTGATTTCAATTATTTGTGGTCACCAAACTATTTTAATTTTGACATAACATTGTTTTGTTGTTTTATATTTTGCTTTAATTTATACATACGTAAACTTTATCTTAGAAAAATAATCTTCAATTGTCTGCTATCAAAATTTCTTAGAATGTTTATCTTGAATCATGCAGCTCAATAGATTCTTTTCTATTGTTAGGACTAATTACTCAAAATATTATGTAAACTTCAGTTATTTAATTTCAAAATATTTAGTAAGGGGCCCAAAGAATTTGGTGAGTCTTGGGCCTGAATTTGTCTTGATCGGTCCCTGCTTTCAGTAAAATGATAAATAAAAAAAATTCTATCAACTGCACCTATTTTCCAATTGATTTCAAACATTTATTAAAAATAAAAATTCATGCATCTAAGGGTTGAATATTTAATCATTTAAATTATTATTCCTTTTTACAATTACAAAAAAATTCTTTTTGTATTACTTTCATAAAAATGCTAATATGAAGCTTAACTTTCTATTTCCCCCGTTTTTTTTTTTTTTTTTTTTTGCTTTAAGTAATTATTCATTTCTATTTTAAATTTTTTTTTAAGGTTAAAAAAAATCACAAACAGAGAGCAAAAATAAAAGGGAAGATAAAAATGGAGAAAGATAGTTGGTGAAAATTTGTACGTTTTTTACCTTCCTGTTTAGTCAAGCCATCGGAATCACATTATTGAAATGATTGCTGCAGAGACAGATTATTGCAGAGACAAAGACAGACACCTTATTGTTATTATTAAATGTAATTTTTCACTCCTGATTACTACTAATAAAAAACTGAATGAAAATGATGTTGAAAAAAATTGAAATTATCATCATAGAATTAAAAAAAATTCTGTTTTAAGCAACAAACGAGTTATGTTAAACTTAGACCATAAATATTTGCATATTTTTAGTCAAAAGAAATTTTGAAGTGGGCGGAGTCAACTCTTTCTTCATGTAAACGCTTCATGTCTCTAAAGCAGGGATGGGCAAACTACGGCCCGCGGGCCAACTGTGGCCCGCCGGAAGATTTTATCCCGCCCGCGGATAGAATTTTTATTTGCCGATCAGTGACAAATATAAACAATATACATCCATTTTCTTGTCGACTATGTTTAAAATTATTTCTGTTTTTCCTTTTTCAACAAAGTACTGATGAAGTTTTTGCTTTCTCTATTTTTGTTCTACAAAACATAAATTGATGGAAATAGTTAGCTCAGACAGCTTCAATTGGTAAAATGTTGAAAGCAGAAGTTCTTTATAGAATAGCCGTAGATTGGCTCCAACTAGCGTTTGTCTTTCTCGAGGAGCTGACTTATGGAATCTAATATAGGTAAATTGTACTTCACATTTGGCAGACTACGCATTTTAAGATCCAACGAGCGGACAATCTAACAATCATCTGAAGCAGTTGTTTCTAAATATGCCAAAGTTTTACAAATCATTACCAAAAGCTAGTTTCCAAAATTTAATATTTCATGGCCAGAAAATCAGTGCTATGTTTGCTTAATCTTATATATGTCAACAAGGGTTTTCAACTATGAAAATTAGAAAAAATCCTTTCAGAAGTAGACTAACAGAAAAGCATTTGGCCTTGTTCCTTAAAATAAGCACATCTCACTTCGAACCGTAATATACGGAACTTTTAAAAATGGAATCGCAATTTCCTTCATCTCACTAAATATTTAAATTAAAACTTGTGTATCGCTTTTTTTTTAAATTTTGAAGTTTTTACTTGGCCCACCAAATATTTTTTTCTTGATTTTTGGCCCCCGACCGAAAAAGTTTGCCCATCCCTGCTCTAAAGGGTCATTATATCACTACTGATAATCTCCATGATTAGGTTCTGTTACGGATTAGTATAAGTAAAATGTAATAAATCATAGTAATTTTTATCATTGTGCATTGTGTACAGCATTTTTTTGGAATTGAATTTTTTTTATAATATTCGAATGAAAGTCTTAAGATTCTGTTCCCTTTCCAACATTTTTTTTAATCTAATTACTTTGTTAATCTAATCTGTTAATCTAACTACTTTGAAATATTTATTTTCAATTAGTAAATAAATAAATAAATTGTGCACTGTATCAATAAAAAGATTTAAAGATTTTAAACATGTACATAAAAAAGATAGTGTATATAAATATGTACCGAAATGTAAATTTCATGAACATAATATGTAAAAATGAATTCTAAGTACATATATTGATAATATATGTAATAAGTACATGGAAAAAGAAATGTGTACACAAAAAATTATAAAGTATGCTTCACTTTAATCCAATTTACAATTTTGTCAAAACTTGATTTCTGAATTTATTCTCCTACGCTCTTAATATTTTAAAATGTGATTTTTTTTAAGCATATTTTTCGAATTTAATAACATTTGGAAAATATTCTTTTTTAGCACATGTTCTGAAACATCTTTAGATATTAGTTCAATGAGTTTTCATTTCTTAACATTTAAATGGTATTATGATTAAAATTCTTGATAATCTTTATTCAATATCAACATTATTATGAAATTATAAAATATTTGAAATTTAATTAAAATCTGTTTTATAAATACACAATTACAATAAAAATTTTTACTGTACATCGTTTTATGCTTTCACCAAAAGGTTGTCTAATTCCGCTCTCTATTTTTTTTAATACAAGGAGTCTTTAATACAAGAAAGAGAATACATTTATATTTTGATTTTTCAAAGTGAAACATTTTTTTAAAAAAATTGTGTATTATTTTTTATTACAATTTTTATTAGATTTTTTTTTATTTCTTTGCACTTTTGAAATGTAATATGCTTTGAAGAAAAATTTTTAGTTTAAAATAAAAATGACTCATCGCAGATGCATCTTTAGCAATAATAATCAGGATCTTGCAAGTGAAGATTTCAGTAACGAAAGTTTATAGACGTAGAGTGCCTGTGTAATTACAGATAAAAACTATTGTTTGTTCTTCATTTCTATACCCTTCCCACAAGATGAAATAAGTCCTGTTATAGTGCTAATGTATTATGGCAGGTGCCATCACATTATCATTTTAATTCAAAAAAGTGAAATAGGAGACACAATATTGAAATACAAATATAGTTATATTATCCAAATATTTTATTGAAATAAAAATATAGTCTGAGTATGACTTTCTATGACTGCTACTCGTTCTCTAAACTGAAACAGGTCAGCAAAAATGCATCGGTCGAAGTGGCCGTGACATTCCCCCTGAATCCTAAAACGATAAACAAATTAAATCGGAAGTCCTGTGATATCTTAGCACCTCCGATTCGTGTAAATCATAGCTTTCGTGTAAATCATAGCATATTGTACTGCCCTCTGATAATAATATAGAGAGCCACCATCAAGAATAAGGTCAACTGAAAGCTGGACAACTGTTCACCCTTTTATTATATATAATAATGCTGTGTTTTAAATAAATAGACGACCGTACCTTCCGCTCGCTGCCTCGCATAACAATGGCAAACAAACTGCTTTACTTGCATGGTTGTAAAATTGTTAAACGATCTTGGATTCGATATTGAATCCATTTATGTATGGGCGAATTCCCATATGCCATTCATAAATTATGATTAAATGTTAAAATTTTGCATATTCTGTGACATAGCTATTAGTTTTTCTGAAGCTAAGTTTAGAAACTAGAATACCCAATACTAATTTTGTGATGTTGGCCACCCTAATTCATAAGGATAATTTTGTATATCTTTCACATCAGATCCAAAACTTGTTCTTGATCTCATATTTCTAAACTGCCAATTATAAGGTATGCTTGGGATAAACATTTGTAAACATGATATAATAGACCAATACGGGAAAATAGATATTTCTGGAATCGAAGGCTTTTTAATAACGTTTCTCCTTGTCCGATCATCACAACCAAATAGGTGTGAAGAATATTGGTTTTTTAATGTTGGCCATCCTATTTCATATGGATAATTTGATGTAGCATTTTTTTCACGACTGAAACTATTTTCTATGAATTTATATATGGGTTGTAAATGATTTAAATATGTTTGAATTGCATCAGAATCATTAGAGGAAAAATACATTAAATCAGCTGATGACGATAATTTGTTTTCATAATAATCCAGTTTTTCGTGACTAACTGGAGTTAGATAATCCAAACTCTCATTCTCAAAGCCATCCAAATTATCTTCGGAGTAATAAGTAGCAAATTTTTCTGAGTTCGAGGAATAAAAAGAGTTCAAACTGTCATGATAATCTAGTTTTTCTTGATTGACTGGAGGTAGATAACCCAAACTCTCATTCTCAAAGTCATCCAAATCATCTTCGGAGTAGTAAGTAACAAATTCTTCTGAGTTAGAGGAATAAAAAGAGTTCAAACTGTCAGAACTATCACTAAATTCCTTATCACTATACTCATATTGTTCTTCTAAATTTCTTATGTCCTCATTTGTTATCTGTTTTTTGCAACTGACTGGCATCTTAGAAGAAGAATATTGTGATAAATTGTCAATACTTCTAGAAGATAATAAAATTTCTTTTTTTGTTGACGATGCATAAGGCTTCATAAGCATATGTACAGTCACTTTAATCTTGTGACAACTTTGGTGACGGTATCTTGTTACGTTAAATATCTCATCATAATAAAGTTCGTGTTCCAAAGGTCCAAAAACTGAACGAAGTTGGCATCTTTTCGATATTCGTGATACTGACTGACTAAATCCTCCGGCAGCATTATCAATGAAAAGTAAAAGTGCACCAGGCTCCATAGCGTTGAATATATTCTAAAAATTATTAACAAAGTTAATCATTAATAACGTCAAGAAATAAAATAATAATAATATGTTAACAAATATTCAAAACGATCATTTTGATTCTTAAAAGAACAAGAATAATTTTTGTCATTCCTATGCAGATTTAGCTATTAACATAACCAGAGCATGGTGTTCCGTAATCACAGTTTTTAATGTATATTTTTTTAATCTTTGTCAAACTATCATTCACATCGGAATCGAAAATTCATACTTACGTAAGGTATAACAAACACTTAATGAAAAACTGACAAATCATTAATGATGTAGGTAGGTGATATTGGAAACAAAGACATTTGATTGGCTGAGGAAATTGAAAGGAGTGTCACTTTTCTAGTTTTCTTCTGTAACTAAACTTGTTTTGTCGTTTTCAATCCTGCATTTTGCGCTAGTGTTTTCTGGAATTTTTATGAAAACGTTTTTTTAAAATTTACATATAACTTTGGTTTAGATAAGTTTCTTTATTTTATATAAAAAAAAGGAACAATTTTTTGTTTTCAATGATTTATATTAAAATTACATACTATGAAATAAAAATATATTGTTATGGAACGCGTCTCTGTCTGGCTTACACTTAAAGCAAGAGCTAAAAAAAATTTTTTTTTGAGTTTTGAGAACTTTTGACAAAACGGGCGTTAGCTTTCATACTTCTTTACGCTTGCATACTTTGAAACATTTAGTTCTTTTAATATTTTCTTTCCTTTAATACCTTCTTTTTTTACCCGTTTCTACTTATTAAAAAGCTTATCATTATTATTTTTGTTTTGTTAAGTTGTTGAAAATGTATGTTATTGACCTTAAAATTAAATAAGTAAAAATCCTATTTTTACGGTGTTTATTAATAACTAACTGTTTCAAAAGTCCCAATGTCTTAGAAGTACTAATCCTGCCTTTAAATCAATCCGTATATATTAAAAACAAAGCCCTCATTCACTAATCGATTCATTGCATATACTCTCCCTTCCCATGAAGTTAAAAAGCTAAAAAAAAATTTTTTTCCCATGGCAGGCCAATTTAAAAGAACAAAAAGGATAAAATAACAAGAAAAACAAGGCAAAAAGAGATAAATAGAATAGAATGCACAGTGACATGCTTAGCCCATACGGGCCCTAGCCTCCCAATAGCGTCCGCACACCCTAGTGGAGAAGACCTCAGGACAAACGGAAATATGGGGCAGGTCCATGTTCTCCCCAAGGCGACAGAGCTTGCATTTAGGACAGTCAAAAATGTTTATACTAAAAAGGTGTTTCGCCAGACAGTTATGGCCTGTTACAAGTCTAAAGAGACTTGTTACGGGCTAAAATTACGAAAGCTAAAATTTGGAACATGTTTTTTTTATTGAAGAAAACATTTTTAAAAAAAACATTGGAAAATAAAAGTAAAAAGTCTTATTTTCATATTTTGTAATTAAAGGAATAATCAGTCTAATTGATAGTAATTTCAAATAACACATTTATACCAAAACAGAAGTCACAAATTCGGACCCATATGTTTTTTATGAAATAATAAGAAAGATATAAGAATTTCATTTCGATATTTTCCGATTATCGGTATTCGGGGGTACTTACCCCAATTAAAAGTTATGGTAAGTGAAAGTTTTCCACCAAAAAGAAAGTCTCAAAGTTCACCCATATATTCCTTATCAAATATTGGGAAAAAAACTATAAAATTTTTATTTCGATATTTTGTAATTATCACGGTAATTAAAAATCCTAATTCACATTAATGCGAAATTAAACTTTCTTACTAAAATAGAAATTAAACTTGAATAATATATTCCTTTTCAAATTATAAGGATTTCGACGTCTATCGTGGGGATTAACGATAATGCTAAGCAACCTATTACCAAGTGTTTGCCGCAGCTTAGCCGATTCCGGATATTTTGCTTTTAAACCACAAGGTAGGTACTTAATTTACGAGCTGGACTGGGCTATTGTCGAATGTTTGGGAAACATCCCTGAGGGTGATCCGAAGACATGCCATTGCAGTTTTGATCCTCCGCAGAAGGGATGACTTCGCTGCTTTGGTAGCCCGATGACCTGCACGCAAAGTCTAAACTTTACGGTAGAACAGTTTAACGAGGACCAATACCACACACCCTCGGTCCCTACGCAGGCTGATCAAAGTGGTCACCCACCCGTTTACTGACCACTGCCAGTGATGCTTGATTCCGGTGTTCTACTGGGAACCGTGTCTTTACGATCAGTCCGCTGCGGGACTCTTTTAAACTACAAAGAAGTGAGTTTGTCTTGGTGGATGAGTATATGGAACCGCGAAGTGGTGAGTTTGTGTATGCGGAAGATTTAGTCGCTGCAGGTGGCTTGCGTCGTTTACCGATATAACCAAAAGAGAAAAATAAAAATATAAATTATTGTGTACTTACTCGAACCATCTGATCAGTATCTTTACAAACTGCACCAGACACAAATTTCACCATGGTTATCAAATTAGCTGATCTTATTGCTCTTTCCACTTCCGCATCCATTTTTTCGAGCAAATTTGCGCTAACGAAAGAGGTTCGAAAGGTATTAGTTCTATAGTTTAGCTGTCGTAAGCATTCTAGAACGGAGTCATACGTATTCTCCCAACCAATCATAGATTCAATAACTTGAGCAGAGCATTTGAATGGTCCGAACTCTTTGTACAAACAAGATAAAACTCCTATGACATCTATACCTGGTCCACCACCTAGACTACATAGATTAAAGAAACACAAATTATTATTAATCACGCTCTTTATAATATCTTCTCCTTCTCTCAAAGCTCGATTAAGCATATCTTGAACCAAACATGCATGCAGGGGGGCATATTTATGTAAGTACGCACATCGGTGAGCTGCATCATTGTAGTCAACAATTATGGGTGTCTTTTCTTTCCAAAAATTAGGATTTGGTTTGTATGCTTTGCTGAGATTCGGTATGGCAGCTTTGATAGCCATGCATGGAACATGGTATTTTTTAATTTCATCAATTCTTACTCGGTCGTATAAAAGCATATAATCACTTGGGCTAGTAAGCATGCTAAATATTTACTCTACCAGTATCGAATTCAAATTATTATTTATATATCGTAACGTGAACTTCTAAAAAATAAATTTATTATTAAATTCTTTTTGAATAATTTTTTAATGCATCTTGAAAATAAAGTTCCATTTCATATCTAGATTGAAAATGGTACATGAAAGAAAACTTTATTGTGATAATTGACAATACATTTATCCGCATTTCTTCCTAATCAGAGATAACACTGTAGTTAAAGATAAAACTCAGTAATAATAAGTCATGGGAAAGATAAAAATTTTGAATATATTTATCTTTTTGTCTAATTTACATATGTTTTGAAGTTTCTTTTTCAGCTTTATATTATCTAGATTAGATGGTTAAGTGTTTCGTTTAAAGAACCTTTTATATGCATTTTGAAATCATATATAAAAGAAGAATTATAACTTTGCTATTAAAAGAAATATTTTAAAAATTAATATAAATATTTTTTTACCAAATTATCTTTGAAAAAAACAAGCTTTAATCGAGTGTAACAATTTTTTCGCCTATCGCAAGTAGTTCTAGAAATACGGTACAATACACGAAAAATAAGATTAAGAAACCGAAAACTTTGGACCACTCTTCTTTCTAATTGAACTATAGAGACTACGTTTTTTTAGAAAACAAGGAACTACCATTCCATTTTATTGACTGAAAAAGCAAATCCATCTGATCCCGTTATAAAAATTGCGACCTTGTAAGAGTCCTTTCAATACATAAATGAAAATTGTGAGTGTACCGTTTTCCCCTTATTGTGAAATGCGACACAAATATTATTTCTGGAATATTTAATATTGTTGTCGATAATCAAAAGTCTGGAGGTGTGGCGGTGACTATGGTAACGAGGTATGATTATTTCAAGTAGGAGTGCGCGGTCCCTCTTTATGACTGGATTCTTTCTTCGGTCTATTGTATTAGCCCTAGAGTGAGGGGAAATGAGCATTCGCCCCTGAAACATCGTTTAGAGCAGTGTTTCTTAACCTTTTTAGTAGAATGGACCCCTTTTAAAAAATTTTAAGAAGTCACGGACCACCCCCAGTGAAAAAAAATGATTGCGAAAAACATCAATTATTACAAAACACATAATTTTATTATTTTAATAGTATACAAAATTTTTAAAATAAATATTTTTAATGTGAAGTTGTTGCCGCTTTTTCTTAATTAATAAATTGAATTGAGGAATGGTTTTCAACAAAGCAACGCGCATATCATGTTCAACATTCAATCGATTTCGATGTTTTGTTTTTATTGTCACAAGTGTCGAAAATCCCGCTTCGCAAAGATACACTGTAGCAAATGGAATTATAGCTGCCACAGCTCATTTTACAATCAATGGGAAGGCTTCCAAAATTTTTAAAAATTAGGAGTAGTCGGCGGATCCCCAAAATTTGACCCATGGACCCCTAAAGGGTCCATGAATCACAGGTTAAGAACCCCTGGTTTAGAGCGTTCGATTCCTTTTTTTAATCTTTTCTCTTTTTCATAAGCTTCTATTTTAGAAAAAAATTTCAACACATTTATTTGTATACTAAATTTTTTGTTTTATTTTTCCTCTTTTAACTTTTTTGAGAAACGCCTTTTAAATTTAAAAAAGGTGATGTTTCAAAATCACAAGTACGTAAAATTGTGCACAATGTGTTTGAGTTTTTTGCTAATGAAGCTGAGGAAAAAACCATTAAATTACCTCTCCATCAACCAGCTCAAAGAGCATGTCTGGCTACTGGAGTGTCAGACTTCACACTTAGAAAAATAAAAAGAACTGTTACATAATTTAAGATCAGCAGATATAGATTTTCAATGAACACAAGTACAATAATTAAAAAAAAGTTATGTTTGCAATAATGCTAACAATAGTTATAGAAAAATCTATACGCAATAACTCATTAGAAAGCAAATTTTTATAGATATTTCATCACAGTCATCGATTGAATCTTCTCTTAGCTGTTATACATATGTATATAAAATAAATAAAGAAGAAAACCTGAAATGGTATTTTTTTTAAAGAAAAAAATTAAAATCTTTTTTTTTTAATGAAGTAACTTTTAAAAACAGTGTTAAATGATATTTTGTGTAATATTTTTACCGTGAAGATAAAATATAAATTTAATAAACTAGTTTATCACAATTAATTTACAATAAAAGAGCTCATTACATTTTCTAAAATTTTGAGAATTTTTTAAGGTCATTTTTAAAAAAGAAATCCCAAGTTATTTTTATAAAATGAATAGTTTCGACAAATGGCTGCTATCCTATTAATAATTACGTGGGAAACCTAAATTTTACACAGTTAATCAGCATCCTAACAAGGAAAAACGGACACAAAAATACCATGAATTATTAGTCATAATTAAAAAACTGCTATACTAATTTGGACAAAACAATGCTATACTTTAATAAGAAGCAGAAAACAGAGAAAAACGGCGATTGTTTAAAAAAATTAGTTGTTAGTCAGCCAATCTGGTATACTTCCCATATAAGCTATCATCGAAGCTACCCTCCCTAAAATGCCCTCTTCTTGTTTCCATAGCACCAGACTGCCACAGACTTTGTGGCTGGCAGAGTACCTATCGTAGACAAACAGTATGTTGGTTTGTATAAGTAACACATTAGGATGTATTTGTGATGTATTAGGATGTAATTTTGTGTTAATATTTGTTAGTCATGATCTGGATATCAGGTCTTCATATAGTTTAATAAAAGAGCGGTCAAAACTTTGAGTCCCTTTGTTAATTCTGCTGCTGTTGTTGTTGTCGTCAGCCATTAAGGCAGAGAGGGTGCCATCTATGGTCAAGAATTCAACTTCTACCACACCCGTTCATAGAGCGGACCCATTCATACATCCATTCATACATCCATTCATTCATCCATGGATCGTAATTTTGACCTGAACTAGAGAACGATCAATCTCCAATTCAGAACCCCCATTGGTATTGATTTGTTATAGGAACATGGAGGACTTTGTGACTCGACAGATTTAACGTGCACCAGTCACCATTTACTGGACGGGGAGTCTATGGCCGGCTGGATTCGAACTTCCGTTGAGTCCAGTGCCCTGCCAACCAGGCTATTCCGGTCGTTAATTCTGCTTTCAGAGCATTTTGCCATAATTCTGAAACTGTTTAAGCTAATCTAAAAATATAAAAAAATTGGCGCGTAATAATGAAACTTGCTTGTAACCACGTAATTTTTTTATCTTTAAAAAAAAAAGAAACAATGATTCACTTTAATGATCGCAAATTTTTTGATTGTATAGTATACAAATGGCAAAGTTTAAAATTTGAACATTATCGTTGCAATAGATTTCGATCAATGCGAGAGAAATTAAAAACTGAAAAAGTTGAATTTTTAAAATGCAATTTCTCAAAACCAGTTCAACCATTTCTGTTCAAATTTTAAGTTCCAGCATTTACAATTAATTAATTTAAAATGATGTAATTGTTATGTGATGTGATGTCAGCAGTTGAGACAGCCAAGGCCTGCAAAGGGCTGTTGTGCTGACAAAAAAGAAGTAGAATGTGCATATACAATTCAAAATTTTTCCCAGCATTATTAATAAAAAGTAACAGATTAATCATTAAAAATAATTTTTTCATGAAATTATCGTTTAAGAAATGAATTTTTTTTATCGAGATTACGAAGTATTGAAACCATATTTCACTGTTTGCGGCTACTCGCTAGCTATTGAATACTTCGAGAGTCAAAAATCCAAATCTGTCCCAAAAGAAATGAAAGTTAATTCAGAGAAAGTACGGTTTTGTGTCTAATTTCGTAACTTAAAATATCATATGGATAAATTAAATAGCATTTTTCAGGTCTCTGCTAGTAAGCCCAATTAATCATTATTACTAGAAAAACAAAATAATATTTAGAAATTGTAGCACAACCTTTAAAAATGCAAGTTGTACGCGAAAATCCCATTATATAATATAAAAAGCTTTTAAACGTGACACGCTGTTTTTTCGTTCTGTTCCTTTTTATTTATTTGTCTATATTATTACAATTTTGTGAACTGTAGATACGTATATAGACTTTATGCATTTATCTAAATAAATATATTTATAATATTGCTTTAGAACGTAGAAAATCATTTTTTTAGACATTTTATTGTAAGGAAAATTCCATTATGCTATACAAAGTCTTTATTTCAAATTTGATATAAACTTTATCTCACAAAATAGTTATACCATTCCTTCTTTTTAAAAAATTTACATGCTCAAACATATTTTACAAAACAATTATTACAAATTATTATTAAGACAATGTATCAACGCAAAATTTCTATGTATTACAAAATTTGCACATTTTTTTAAGCCATTTTATTCTTTTTAGCTTAGAGCAATTATTACACTCTCGTTCAACTGTAGCATTTTCCTCCGTATTGTGTGGTGTAGCTTTAACTACGGAACTATTTCCATTTCCGGTTATTTCATTGGTTTTAGTTCCTTCCCTAAACAACATTTTTTCTAAGTTTATATGAGGAATAGGCGCAACGTGTTTTTTATTATTCTCGACTTTTGATCCATCAATAGAGACTGATAATAGTTTTTTGAAATCTTTGCTATCTTCCTCGTAATTTTGAGGAAAAAGCTCATATAACGGGTAGTTAAACCTTGAATCTATCTCGTTTCTTTCAGTTAATGTTGAATTTGACTTGCCAGTCAAACAATATGTTTGATCGAGGGCAGGTTCGCCATTTGAATTTTTAGAATAAGCTTTAGTTTCTAAATTGTCATAACATTTCGGATGGCATAGAGAACTCGTAGTATTCCAATCATTTGCAAAATCAAATTTATTTGAATGCAGGATATTAGAACCTGGTGCCATGGAATAAATTTTATTGCTTGAATTATCATCTATGTATGCAACATTTAATTTATCTTGTCTCTGATGAATGGCAAAACTCTTAGAATTACTTGAATCATAATCTATATTACATGCAGCCTTTAGTTTATCTTGTTTCTTATGATTGACCGAACTATTAAGATTGTTTGAATCAAAATCTGTATCTTGTGCTAAGTTGAATTTATCTTGTGTTTGATGAATCACAAAACTTGAATCACAATCTAAATTATATGTAACATTTAATTTATCTTGTCTCTGGTAAAAAGATGCAAAGCTTTTAGGATTACTTGAATCATAATCTATATTATATTCAACATTTAATTTATATTGTCTCCTATGATTGACAGAACTCTTAAAATTGCTTGAATCTAAATCTATATCTTGTGCAAAGTTGAATTTATCTTGTCTTTGATGAATGGCAAAACTTTTAGGATTTCTAGAGTCGCAATCTACATTGGGTGTAACATTTAATTTATCTTGACTCTGATAAAAAGGAGTAAAACTTTTAGGAACTATTTTCGAGAAATCAGAATTATAACCGAATGTTCTAAAAGGAACAGCAGAATCATCTTCAGATAAGCTGCAGAAATCATTTTTTCTTTTATAGTTCATGGCTGGTTTTAGTGGAAAATTCCATTCGACTTCTGGTAAAGCGCATGGCTTCATTAGTAAATGAACGGTTACCTGAGTGCTAAAGCAACTCCTACTGCCATATTTTCTCTCGCAAAATTTTGCATTTTTGTACTGCACATATTGCAACGGACCAAAAACAGGTATCATTCTACATTCTTCAGCTATCCAAGACACTAATTCGCTGTAACCGCCTGATGCATTGTCGATGATGAAAACTACGGCACCATGACGCATTGAGTTGAAAATTTTCTGAAAAACAGATTAATTGCTTAAGAATCACACTTGAAATTTTCTCAAAGATGCAAACAATAATAAGGCAATAAAAAATATTTTTTTAAAAAATCAAACTTCAAAGACAAACTAGGTATTCAAAATAACTGACTAAACACTGGTTCAAAACTTTAGCCTATCAATCACATTATATTATACCCCTCATGAAACCTAAACAATTTTATTGCTTGGGTGCCCGCTCTGGGGGCGGGGAAAGCAAAGAGGGCAACTTTTTTTTAAAAAAAAAATATATTTTTTTTGAAATTTTATAACTAAAAGACAGATTTAAGGGCTATTTTTGATTATTAAAGGTGATATTCCTTAATATTTGAGGTAATATAAATTTTTAAAAAAAGTTTTTTGTTGTGGGATATTTTTCTAGACAAATTTTTTATATCTTCACTACACAACTTTTTTCAAAAAGTTTTTTTTCTTCAATCCATTACATATAACATTCTAGTTCATTATTATCAAAGAGTTAGGCAGCAAAAAGTTTAAAAAAAATAATAATAATGTAACTTAAAATATAGTTTTTGATTTTATACTCAATCTCAATGCTACTTCACATTATGAATGCCTCAGTTTGACTCAGATATATTTTTTAATAAAAACATTATTGAGCAAAATTTTTAAACATCATAATTCTAAAAAAATATTAGTTTTGCGTCTACTGTTTACATTTTCCCAACTGTATGACCACTCAGAGACAATAAGTGATAAAATAACTGTTTTTCAAAAAAATATGGTAATTCAAAACAAGTGGATTGACATAGTACATAAATTTATATGCTTAATTATCAATAAATGTGATTTTTGAGTTTTGGAACTCAGCACTTTAAGACAAAAAATTATAATTGCGTTATCAATATACGATAATAAAAACTACGATTCCTCACGTTCAGCTTCATTCAATCAAGAATCGACGCTGAAAGCCCCCACATAAAATCCAGTGTGTGCCTTCAATGCTTAACAAGGTTTACATAAAAAACTAGTACAACATTATACCATAATATTATATAAATTCACTCGAATATTAACGAGATGTTAAATTGAACTTTGTTACCGTTTAAACAGAGTCATAATGTCGTGTAAGTTTTGTTTGCACGATAATATAGTTTCAACTTACAACAGGTTGCAATATATTAGAATGATATCGTAATTCAACGTAATTCCAGAATTTCTGAGAGTGTAAGATCCAAATGCCTGATGCAAATATTGGAACAAATACTATATAATTACAAAAACCAAGTTTCTTAAAGCAAAAAAAAAAAAAAAAANAAAAAAAAAAAAAAAAAAAAAAAAAAAAAAAAAATCACACAATAGTGTGGCTGTCAATAAACTACCACAATATGCCACAGTTTTTTTTATCACCTAAACATATTTTTTCAACTCTTACCCTGATCATTTGGGCAGTGTCAATACTAGTTGCAGCAGATAAAAACTTAACCATGGTAATTAAATTTGCTGAACCTATAGCTTTGTTCACAACACTGTCCATTTTACCCAGCAAGTCAGCCACTATATATGAAAACTGAAAATATTCTGGCGTCAGGTTACCAGAGAGTCCGTAATGATCATTCTGAAATTCTTCTAAAATAGTCTTAAATGTATCCTTCCATCCCGGCATCGATTCGATAATTTGCGCATGGCAACGCAAGAGTCCATATTTTCTGTGCAAAGCAGAAAGTACACCAATGGCATCGATTCCTGGCCCACCACCCAGGCTACAAATATTTATGCAATCGTTATTACTCCAAAAATCAGGATTTATGACAGCAACACTTTCATTTAAGGCTCTGGTGAACATATCCTGGACCAAACATGTATGCAAAGGTGCATATTTATACAAATATGCACATCTATAAGCAGGATCATCATAGTTGGCTACTTGCACAACTTTCTCACCCCACAGTCTTGGATCCGGCTTGTATACTTCTACCATGCTTTTAATTGCAAATTTGATTTCTCTTTCTTTAACGTCATATTTTTCAACTTCTTTAGATTGTACTTTATCATATAAAATTAAATAGTTTGAAGGGCTTATCATTTTAACACGCTAGTGCATTTTACTAGCAAAACATGAATACATTTATAATTGCATCAAAAATCATTCGACATAGCAACTGTCAACAGTTCGTTTGATCTCAAATGCTTGTCAACTTTAAACGGAAATTCCCCTTCCGAACCGAAACTACAAAAGATAACATTTCTTTCTCTGCATTAGAACTGAGATAACTGAGATAAGACCTTTATCTCATTTATGTGTGTTAATGTTTCTATGATAAGCAAATTAGTATAATTTTTCTTCGTTTCTATATGTTTTATTACACAGAAATGAATCAATAAATTCAAACGAAGTATTTAGTTATTTGTAATACAATATTCTTCAATTCCGCCTCGTATGTTGTGTTATACGAATTCATTTCTTTTAAGTTGTATTTTAATAAATGTGTTTAAGTCTTCGAGCATCAAAACATTCACTACGTTGCGTTAACTTTACGGGAATAGCCTTCATTTTTAGAGCAAGTTCGACGACCTTCCCTTACAAAAAAAACAACAAAAAAAGCGTTTTTGAAAGTTGGCATACATAAAAAAAAATACACCTAAGGTATAAAAATAAGGTTATGTTTTGCACCAAAAATGCCCTCATTAATAAACCTCAATTTTAATCTCATTTACACCTCACAAAATCAACCTCATATATAATTTTAACTCAGAAATAATTTTAGTTCAGATGGGGTGAAATTATTCACACCTCAAATATACGTATTTGCTTGAAGAGTAGAAAAAATAATCCGTACACCTCAAAAACAACCTCCCTAAGCTGATTTTTCTAAAGTAAATTACCATTAACCTCAAGTGTGAATAAAACAACTTCATACACCTTGACAGGTTGATCCTTTAAAGTTGGTTTTGAAATCAACTTCGAATAAACCTCAAATTAACCATGGCACCTCAAAAATATCTTAAATTTCTGAAAGGGTTGTGCAATTTTTCCTTTCTTTTTTTTCATTTTTAATTATTTAAACTCTTTGCTAGAATTTAAACAAGCTTTAGATTTAATTGCACTAATCCTTTGCGTGTTATTCAACCGTCCTAACAAAGGTCTCTTCCAACTCAATTAGAGCAGCTGTATTAAAAAAAACTTATTTTGCCCAAAACAAATTGCATGGGAAAGAATAATTTGAATAAATTATTCTAGATTCTTAATTATTCATTTTATTAATAATAGTATAATCATAAAGTATAATTGAATCCTAAAGTATAAAAATATTTACATGATCTTAAATCATTTTAATTTTCTACATAAAAGTCGATTAAAATGGTTGAAACTCGTGATTCTTAGAACTACTCAAAATAATTTTTACGAACTTAGAATTTCGGCACGTTAAATCATATAATAACTTAGTATTTAGCAAATAAAATAATATTTGGAATAATTAAAAATATTTGTTTTAATTATTTACTTAAAAATACTGTAATTTCCAATTTATTATTATTACTCTTTCCAGTCAAGAAGCTTTTAAAAACAATAACAATTCAAACTTTGATTTAAATTGTGTATGAATTTGAATTCCTATTGATGCTTGCAAAACTCTTTTTCATGGTTTGGTATACTGGTATTTTCATAAAAGGAATATTTAAAATAAATGAATGTGCAAACAATTGTGAAACTGTTGTTATTTCCGAACTACAACAAGTCATTAAAAAACTAAAACTTAAGACAGTTAAAAAGTAAACAGTCTAGAGCTTTGAAAAATCATGTTGTTTTGGCTGAACTTCAAAAAAAAAAAAGTTTTGTTTCTATTATTCTTATTCTTTCTTAGTACGCAATCAAAGTGATGATGAAACTTTATTTTTAAGTGCGTTGACATGAGAACATACCGCTTATCCCTAATACGATACTAGTTTTAAAAGAATAGAACACTTTTAGATCACCAGTAATTAAATTGCTATAAAGAAGAAAACATGGATAGAATTTTCTCTATGCAACATTCATTTAATATGTAAGCCACTGAATCCCATGACAATGAACTCCATGGAAACAGAGAAATCGATTTGAAATAACAAAAAATCGATATTACAAATTTATATCGATATTACAAATTTTAACAATTACCAAAAAATTTTTTGTATTGGAATTTCATCGATTTAATAGCCCTGTGGCAGAGTTTTTTCGAGCAATCTGAGACAAAACTCTCCATCACTAGTATCATTCTGATAGATACTTTTAATAATAACAAACATATATGTTACAAATTTAAAATAACAAAAGCGCTGTAAAACTATATAATTTTTTTAATAAAACATGCAATAATTTTTTTTATTCTAATATTATGGGTGATATTCTCGCACTTTGTGGGGGAGCGGACACACGAATTATTTCCTTCTTCGCATTCTGTAAATAATTATCACAATAAAATATATAATTAAAAATCATTAAGTTCGCAGTAGTAATTGCTGAAATAAAGATAGACGACGAAGTCACGCGAATCGGGCTCCTCAAATGAGTGTTTCGTTTTGAGATTACGTTGTTGTAATAAATAATATCGGATTTAAAAACTATGGAGAAATCAACTGCCAAACATTCGATAGAATTATTGCCTTAAAAAGTAAATACTCAAATGCACGATTCGAATTTTCCATATTCTTTGAAATATATCGGGATTTTTAAAATCTACGTGAAAATCAATATCACCGAAACATTATATCGTTTTACTATCGTAAATATCGTCGTAAATTGAGAACGTCAAAAAGTGGTTATCTAAATGCATGATTCAAATATTACGCTTAAATTTCTGCAGAAAAGAAAAATATTTATTTTTTTTTACTTTTCAAAAGAAAAATCATTCTGCAAGAACTCAGTAACGTTCTGCGACAATGTTGCTGTGATTCTGCCACGGGGTTCAATAGTAGCCCTGAGCTGTAGACTTAATTTTGGGTACATAATGTATTTAAAAATATAGTTAGATCATTTATAAGGTATATAAAAAAATTATAACAAAATTAATAATGAATTTTTTGCAAAGTTTTATTTTTTTTTAGAGATCTATATTCCATTATTTTCGCAAACATCTTAGATGCAAAACAGATCACAAACTTTTTAAACTTAAAGACATCTCGCAATATCGATATTTGCTAGAGCAAAATTAGACTGTACTTGTGTACACATATTTAAAAATTAAACAGTTAAAGCGTTTTTTTCATACCTTTTTACTTTCCACAAAATAAATTCATTAATATTGCGTCAAATTAAATCGTGATTTCTACAGCTTAATTATCATTAACTCGAAAAAAAATCTAAAATTTTATTAATAATTTGAACATAGTATAACTTTTTATTTTCCAAGTGGGGCAAACTAAATATACACTTTTTGTTTTACTATTGATAGACATATTAGAAAAATTCTTTACATAAAGTAACTTTTGGATATGTGCCCCATTTAAATTTATTTCTAATAGTATAATAATCATCAGTTAAATGATATTTGAAGGAAATAAAATAAATGTAAAACATATAATTGTGAACATTTTATTTAACGTGTAATAAAACATGAAAATGCTTTTAACAGTTGTTCTGAATATACATAGCATAAAATATTTTGCCTTCTACCTAGCTCTTAATAAATAATTTTTATACACTATAAAATTATCACAAAAAATTGACAGCTTCAAAATTTTTGCAAGAGATAAAACTTTAAATTTATTTTACAGTGTAAAATAAATGGACATTCAAACAAAGAGAAAATAACAGCAGTATCTTTGTGTAGTTCCCAACAAAATCATTTAGATTACGCAAAAAACTAATTATATAAAAAATCGAATGATTTATTTTGTAAAGTATTTATACCTTTGTCAAAGTATAATCTCTTACTATAACAGAAAAAATTGTCTTTTAAACAGAATGAGATATTTTTGCCAGTACTGGAAATTCTACCTAGTTCTTAATAAATAATTCTTACACATTATAAAATCTTAACTGCCTTAAAATTTTTGCAATGAGCAAGAAATTAAAATTTGTTTTGCTTAGTAAAATAATTGCACATTAGAACAATGATAAAATGACAGCAATATCTTCATGCTCTAAAAAATCTATTCGGATTACACAAAAATCTAAATGCATAAAATATTAAATTATTCATTTTTTGGAGCAATGAGCTTCATCATAATACAAAAATTTTTAATGTAAAATAAGAAATGATTAACATATTAACAGAATGAGACATGATTTGAAGATGAAAAAAAATAATAATAAAATACATACCATTAACAAAATAAATCTTTCATAATAATTTTCCTTTTTGATGAATCTTAAATTAATACAAATTGTAAACTTAGTTTCTTTGTTGGTAGTGCTTACTGAATATGTAACAATGAATAAAGAATATAAATGCATCTTGATTTTTTTTATTACACAAAAACAAACACTCAAACTAAATTTTGCAAGAAGGATCTTTTTAAACAAATTTTGTTTTCATTGAAAAAAAAGTAAACAAAAGTATGAACTCACATTTGCTATGCTTTAAAAAATGTTTATTCTTTAGCTGAATTCTGAAATTCCTAAGATATATTCCTGAAAATAACTTACATAGGATACTCTGTAACAACCATTCATCACATATTTTTAGAATCCATGTCAAAAAAAAGTATACACATTGAGACTCAAACATTAATATTTAAATGAGAAAATAAAGATTATCAAAACCTGCCAAATCAATACTGAGGAAAGCTGGACCGTAAACAACAAAGCCTGTCATATTGCCAAAGAAAACAAAGAGAAACCTATGTATTAAGCCTATATCTCAAACAGTTATATAGTTTTTGTCTCTCAGAAAAAAAATTCCACTTTGTAAAATGAAATTTCTTCTGCAAATTAACCAATAAATAAATGTTAAAAAAAAAAAAAAAAAAACAGTATTAATTTGTTTTCTATGCCTATCTATTTTTCTATGCCTAATGTAGGGTTAAAATTAAAAAATAAATTATAAACTTATAATGTAAAATATGAATGATTTCATTAAAATTAATAGTGTTAATTAAAAATACTTAATGATCTCTATAGTAGCATAGATATAATTAACTAATATCATTCATATTATTTTAAAATAAATCAGCATTCGTCTGAACAATATGCTTCTCATCATATTTACAAAAAAACTCTTGAGCAAGAATGACTAGCAAATATATATAATACTGAAAAATAACAATTTAAAATAGTTTTTAGTTCCAAAATTGTTTGTAGTACTTAAAATTTATAAGACATTTATTTTAATTAGTAATATTCCTTTGCTCACTTGATGTTCACATTTTTTATCTCAAGAAGTTAGTAACAAAAAAGTTGATACAAAGGAACCAACTAATTCCTAACATAGAAGACTTTAAATATGAATTTGAATAATGCTGACACAGTGGTTTTAATTCATTTCAGTTATAATCAATTAATTACATGCACATCAATTAAAAATTATAATACTAAAATTTTAATTATAGTAGGCTTGAAATATCGCAAAATGTCTATCTTTTTACATTCTACACTGGGCACATATTTAAACAAAATAGAGATGATAAAAAATAATATTTATATACAGTGATTATTAATTTTAATAAACTTTAAATCTCATACAAATTAACAACTCACATCACAATATTAAAAAAATATCCCTATTATTCACTAACTTATGAATTTTGATTACTTTATCAAAATTATATATGTAGTCAAAATACCACTAAAATCCATTAATTTTATTTTCAAAACTACAATTAAAAGTGATTATAATTTATGTTAAGTTATTTTTATTGTACAACAAAATTTTATTTAATAAGATGTTGGATAATTATTTTATATTATCTTCAACAGAGACTATAAAAAATTTAAAATATTCTAGAAATTGTACTATATTCTGTCAAAAATGTCATAAAGTGAACAAAAGGAATCCTGGTGCCTGACACTTCTGCCAATGGATCACATTGTTGCTACTTGCTGCTAAACACATTAATTAGAATCCCATAAAGTAAATGTACTTTAATTGCATAAAGAAAAAATATCTGCTACACAAGTTTTATTACTTTTAAATCCTATTCAGTTTTAAGAAAATTAACAAATTTCAATAATTATTATTATTATAAGAATTTTTTCTTAGAAAAAGTTGTTTATATTTAAATATAAAAACCTTTCATGAATATCTTTTAAGATTAGCTTGCATTACATGATAATATATGATGATTAATATAGATATCAAGACCTTAATTCATAATAACAAATTCTAACAAAAAAATGATTAAATCACAACAACAAATATAAAGAAGCCTTTATAAATAGTCTAATCCAGTAGCAATGCTCTTCAAATTATCATCAATATTCAACATTATAAGCAAAATTTGATTTGAGACTTTTGATTAAATAGTTTCTGTTCAGAACGTGCAGAAATCACAAGACTTAATATCAAATATGTTTGAAATTTACCTTACATCTGCTTAATTATACATCTAAAAATGTGAATACACATTTAAACATATCTAAAGCTCATCAAATTATTAAATACACTCTTACTTTGCTTTATTAATATAAATACACAAATATACACATCTAAACAGTACCTACCAAAGCTCTTCAACTTCTGAAAAAATACTTTACACTCACTGAGAAGTTTAAAAATATACAGGCAAGGAAGCAAAAGTTGGATTTGAGATTTACTGAAATAATCTATTTACAGCAACAAATGAAGGTTTAGTTTGATATTTGTGATTTATTTTACCCTGTTTACAGCAATAAATGATGTAACATACTGAACAAATCTCAAAACTAAATACCAAATATGTATTAAAATTACCTTTTCTCTGCTTATTTAATGCAAAATTCTGCACAAACTTTTAAACATTTTTAAAGTAACAACTTATTAAATCCAACCTTATCCTGCTTTATAAATATAAATACACATCAATACCTTTACAAAGCTCTTCACCTTCAAAATAAATTTGACACTGAAAGAAAAATTTAAAAAAATATACAAGCAAGAAAGCAATGTTTGATTTAAGATTAACAGCAACAAAGAAGACCTGATTTGATACTTGTGATTTAACTTCGCCTGTTTACAGCAATAAATGATGTAACATACTGAACTAGTTCATCTAAGAATCCATAATAATAATTTTCAGCAGCCGATAGAACGTGTTTACCTTGTCGCAAAGATGCATACATGTTGGAAATAAGGTATGTAGCTCGATAATGAATACTCGCCATACAAAATTCTCGAAAAGGATTAAAATTTTCAGGCAGCACAGGTCGCATTTGATTTCGAGATTGGTTTTCTTCCGGAACAGGAAAATCTTCGCCCCTCAATAAAGCACGCATTTCGAGAACCCCCTGATCTTCCTGAAATTTTTCCTGCTGATACACTTCGAAAGGTACCACACGGTAACGAAGCAAAATTCTACAGCCTTCACGAGATAAACTCTGGGCAGTTCTGACAAATAGCAACGTATACCCACACAGAATTAAAAGTTGAATATGTTGATTAATCAGAATGATAAATCTAATTGGCTTGTAATCAATTCTTGACACAAAAGTCAGGAAACAATAAATAGCTTTGGTAAACAATGAAAAAAAAAACTTCACATTTTGGAGCACTACTTCCATCATATAAAACAACAATAGTGATAATTAAGTTCTTAGAAAAAGCTTTCCACTATATGCATTGAATTTTATTAGATTAATAACAGTCAAATAATAAATTAGAAGTGATATTATTTGAAGAAAGATAAAAATAATTTTCACGCAGGAAACCCGCTGTCAAAAATGTTTGTTTGTTAATTAAGATTTTTGCTGTTCATTTTTGCCCTTCTAAAACGTTATGCGTCATTTTTATTAAAAATTTTAGTTTCTAATTAAAGGAAAAACAATGACTATATTACTACGAATTAAAAGCTATATATAAAGCTAAATTATATTATAAAGCTAAATTTTGGTATTTACCTATTACAAAACTAAATTAAAAGTTTTAATTGGCATATTTTTAAGGATGCAGAAACAAACAATCGAAAACGTTGCATGAATGGTTGACAGGACAGTTTAAAGGCAGTCTTATTTTTATTAAAGATTATCATATTTTTTAGCTATTAAGTCTAATTGATATTTCATTCCTAGTGATAAATCCAATAATAACATGCAATGTGATGTTACAAAAGATTCGGTTAGGCAGCGAATATGGTCTTACTTGGAAGAAAATAATATAGCTCGTTTTCCTAGACCAGTTTTCAATCGAATTCCAAACTTCAAAGTTAGTAAAATGTGAGAATTCCTAATTTTTTCCTTACAAATTTTTGAATTTATCTAGAAATAAGTAAATTGGCTCGAAACTTCCCATTTGTTAATCGAGGTAATGCTACCAAAAAAGCATCCTAACTAAATTTTAAATTTATTTTCCTGTGTCCGAATATGTTTGATTAAAGGACAGGTGTTTCCGTATCATGATCTGTCACACCAACTACAATCACCAAGTTGTCAAATACATTTTAAACTTGATGTTTTTTTTTTTAAAAAAAGAAGGGAAAAAAATCATGCAGATGTTTGCCTGGGAGTGGTGGCTATACCTTTGGAGTTGATCCATTTTTATGATATTTTTTTAGTTTCTCGTGGGACGCTGCCCTGAAATTGCCAAAATTTGGCGATTATTCTGCCACAAATCATGATGCAGAAATACCCCAAAAGATAGAGGTTTGATTTGGTTGCAAAATTTTTTTCACATGTTTATTTTCTATAAAAAAAAATTTTAAATAGTTTCAATATTATTATTTAGATGTATTTATGTAGAACCCATTTTTTTGCAAAATTTAAGTATAAACTTAATGTTTGCATCAATCATTAAATTATTAACATTAGATATGTGTTTTTATTTTATTTAAAACTTGGTTCTATATCGTTTTTATCTTCATTTTATGAAATAATTTAAATTTGAAAAAAGTGTTTCAAAATTTTTATTATTTGAATACATATAAGATCAATTTTTTACAAAATTTATTTGCAAACTGTCACCAAAGTGCCAACAAACAACATTAAAATTTTACAAAATCTATCAAACAAATGTTGCAAATTTTAGCATGGAGTAAGCATATTGTGATATCCATCTTATTAAATATTTATCATTGAAGCACTTGTAAATAAAATTATTATAATTAACAACTGTCCAAAAATTACCCTTGGGATGGGATAATTATTGACCACTCGCATTTAATATAAATAGATACTTTTTAAATTTATCATAGAACTGCAATCAAAATTTATCTGACAGTAATTTTCTGCAGGTGTAGGTTGTAAATTTCATGATACTTCAGGTTTAAAATATAAATTTATTCAGCATGAAAAATATACTTCATTGAACAAATCTTTGGTCATTTTATTTGCATTATCTATGGCTTCCATATCTATTGTGAATAGATTTACAGCTTTAAATTAATAAGTCCATACAAAATATAATTAACATTAAAAATTGTCTATATTCTATCTTGTTTTGGCTTGCTTAGATTTTCCTCTCCTCTTTCCAGGAACTTTACTTTCTCTTACTTAGGTGGCTTTTTCAAGATGAAAGGTTTTATTATAATATACTATGTAATATTCTTTATTGCATTTTTTGTATTTTCTGTTAATATTATGACATTTTGCAAAAGAATTGGTTACTATTATGGCAATAAATTATTTTGCTTTGATGATCAATCATAGCTGTTGTATACATATCTTCATAGCATCCACCTGCACAACTAAATTACTCTGGCAGTTCACCTGGGCTTTGATTTATGTTTTTTTTTGTTTTATTATCTTGTTTTTTTTCTTATGTTTCTCTTTCACATTTTGCAACTAGTTTCAAAAAGTCATTATTTCTAATTCTAGCTGTGTTTATATTAATCTTTCTATGAATTTCGGAGCTTACTCCTGCTAGGTCTAGATGATGTAAGAAATTTTATATCATCTGCTAGACATCGCAATATAACATGTTCGAAAATTATTTCTTTTGAATCAAAACTACACAATCAGAAATCTTAAATCAGTCAAAAATAAATAAATCTAAAATGAAGAATGAAAGAATATGTTAATTCTATTGGTGCAATGCATGTGGTTGATATTAATATAAATATGACAATTACTAGTGATATAAATATGTAGGGATAGTTTAATTATGATATATAAAGAGATAATTTAATGATGAAAACAACATTAACGAGGAATTACCCCAGGGACCAAGATTTACCGGTAGACGCATGAAGTATTTGGTGCACTCCTGTAAATAATTTTAAATAGTGTAAAAAATACCAAAACTGTTTTTTAATATCGAAAATTGTTTATAATTCAACCAAAAAGAAAGAAAATGAAACTCGTCAAATATCAATTCTCTTAAATCTCACATTCTATATTCTTTCACAACGATTTCTTAACAAAAAGGCAGACTCAAAGCCATATGGAACATAAACAAATTAATTATGCATCAAATTTGCCTGGTACACAAAGCAGAAATATATCATGATTACAATGAAATACACAAACAAGTAATAAATCTAAGTTACCTAAGTAAAAGACATAGACAAGAAAGAATTCCATTTCAACAACTATGATGTACGATACAGCACTGTATTTAATTAACTTCTTGTTAATTAACATTCTAACTTGTGTGGAGAAACTTAGCTCAACTTTAAAACGCCATTTTGCTTATAAATGATTAACTGGTGTCAGAGGTACCATATGTGGGTATCTCTGATCTTCTTCTTGAAGTGCAATTATCCATGGCAAATGGACCGCCAACCACCATATTGTATTTTGTCTTCAACAACCATCATTCCATGTGGGAATAAGGATTCTTTGCAGTTGAGACTAGCTGAATAAAACCAATTTAATTTCTTGCCAAAATACAATTTCCACAGGCAAATTCACCAATGTCATCTTGTATTTAGTGTTAATTCATACTTAAATAAACCTATATTTCTTAAAGTATTTTTTTTTATGTAATATTCCTTATAAGAACAGATTTAAAAATTCATATAATTAAAATTTTAAAAAAGCAAGATTAAAATTTAGTCTTCATATGTGTTAGGCATGTTATTAATTTTTAATAGAAGAAGTTATTTATTCTTTCTTCTAGGGGGCAGAAGAAGCATGCAACAAAGTGAAGCAGCTGAAAGAATATCAACAAGCTCATGTTGTAAAAGTAAATCCTGACACTCCTCAGAAACATATACGATTCTTAACTTTAACTGTAAGTAATTTTATAGTGATGTATGTAAAATTTTACTTTCAGCACTTGTTATAGAGCTTTCACACAAATTCTTATCGTGATTTCATGCTTTTAGTTATGTCATTATAACTTGTTTTTTGTGAAATTCAACTAAGCATATTAAACAATTTTAACATCATAAATTGGCAACTCTGATATCCATTGCACAGTAACACTCAATTATATTCTACACAACCATATTCAGGATCATAGTAAACCTAAAATTATTTGTATATGTAATTTTGGAAATTCATGTATTCCATCAGTTTCTTAATAATCATGTTCATATAACTGTTTAGAGCCAACATATTTAACTTTTGAGCAGAATTTTAATTAAGGCAAACCTTAGTAAAATGGGCATCTTGGGTACAGGGAAATATGTTTGCTTAAGAGAAGTGTTCGTTTAGGAGAAGGACGTAAAATTTCAGAAATCTATTGCTGAAAATTGATTTAACTAAATTAATATGAAAGTTAAATAAATACAAAGTTAGAAATAAGGAATTACAATAATATTTTTTTTTAAATTAATAAAATCACAATGATTGATATTCTATGATAACTGTAAGAAAGTATGATTGCAAAATTAAAAAATAAAAACACATGCTTCTATTGATATAGGTGCACAATAAATTTTCCTTTCATAATTGTAAAAAAAATTTTAAGTGAAAAATTATAAGATTTTTATATTTTGCATAAATATTATGATTCAGGGGTGGATAATAAATCCAAATTTTGCTGGGTATTGTAAATGGCCAGGTAACAACAAAAAAATTTAGCCTATGCCCAAAATTGTTCAGATAAAAGATTTAATTTTCTTAGGGTACCTAGACTCCTCAAAATTTTAGGACCAGGCACATCTCTAGTTCATAATGTATTTTCTGACTCATACGTTTTTTTTTTTTTTTTTATGTAAAAGGTTCAATTTATTTAAGGTTTTATCATTTTATAACCTTTCTAAGTGATTAAATATGAGCATGGTTCAATAAACAAGTGGAACTAAAAAAGAAAATTAATGTTCTATAAAAATAACTTTCACATTGGAAACATCCTTTTAACCTCCTTACTTAATGTATGCACATTTAAAAAAACAAATTTTCTTTTAGGATAACAAAACTTTGTTGGTTCCGACCCCTCGTTTAAGAAATGGACTTCTGAATAAAATCAATCCACCACCTAATGCATCTAAACAAATATTGCAAGTTTGTTCAACATCAGAGGTAATCAATCAAAAAAACTACCATGTTGTTTCACGTTTATATTTGATTATTATAACTTAATTTTATTTGTTGTCTTCAAATTTTTATAACTTTTCACCCATATGAAAGAATGCTTCCTTATAAATTTTCATCTTCTTTTGCAATTTATTTTTAAGATTTTAAAAAACATAGTATAAAAAAATTAATTCCTTATTTATCAAAAAATAATTTTTTACAGATCAGTTAATTTTTCTTTATCATTTATATGAATCATTTTATCTCTTTGATGCAGACTTTTTATTAAATATATTTTTCATACTTTTTTTCGTTTATTTCTTGCATTAATTTAGATCAAAATAAGAGAAAATGTTATATTTAACATTTTAATAATTTGTGATTACAAAATATAGCATGAAACACAGGTGTCTTTTTCTGCGTTTAAAGTAAAACCCTCCAAACACAGTTCTTTTTCAAATATGCACTTATATGTTGTTATTTAGATCTAAGAGAAACAGTTATTCATCATTAAATTTCTTCAATTTAAAAAATTTATTATTGATACATTTTCAAGTGTGAATGAAAACAAAATTTCAAACTACTTTTTTGGGAGCTTTTATATTTTAGTATAAATGTAATTTTCCGATAATCTAACAGATTCTTTTTAGTAACTATTAAACTGTTTTTTATAATTTAAAAGTACCAAAATATATCTTTACTTGTAATTAGATTGTCATAAGAATAAAAAAATTAGAAAAGAGACAACAGTGTCCCCATCTGCATCAAAGGGTTAAAATATTAAAGTTGATTATCGCTATCCATTTACTTAAACATTTTTACTTTATCACAAAATGGCTTATATTTGCATGTTTTTTAAAGTTTTGTTGGTTATTAATGAAAATCTTATTTATAGACTTTGTAGTAGCAAAATGAACGTCTTATGAAAATTATTATAATTCTAACATTTGTTATATTTATTTTTAAGTGTGCATTTTTTTTTATTTCAAAATAAAAAGAATATTTTGAACCATGGCAAATCATGAGGTAAAAATTAATAATAATTGATTTTTCCAAAATATTGTTCAACTTTTAATTGTGTCTCTTGTCAGGTACGAATTTTATTTACTTTAAATATGTAGTTAATTTGACTGAAAAAAATAGGAACAAAACAAAAATTTTTTGTTCTTGATAGTGCCTAATTTACTAATTTCTTGATAGTTTACTAAATTTTAGTATCTTCCTATTTATATAATTATTAAATGGTTTATAATTCTTTTATAAATTTTTTAATGAACAATTATTTTTGTAAGGAATTCATCTAGAACTGTAATATCATTCAATTTTAAGCATCATCTTATTAATTGAAAAATCTAGTTAATTTCTATTTTTACAAACTGTAAAAATAATGTTTTTTTATATATGGCTTATGATATTGCTACATCACACTTGCACTGAATCGTTTTAATCTTAACTGCTTTAACTCAATTTTGTTGTTTATTATTCATGTTTATAATTTCTTAAACAAATGAGTATGGTTATTTTAGTTTTGGTTCTCTTAACAGCTGTGGCATTTCCACCTTTAAATTGATCTATTTTTTTAATATGAACTTTTTGTTTAACTGTAACCCATAAAGGGTTACCTCTCGCCCACATGCTTTCTTAGCATCACTTGTTAAATATATATTTTACCTGTAAAGGTTATTTTTTCAGCTAAGATTTCTTGACTGTATTTCTAGCATCGGTCTTCCACTGTGTATACATATTTATTTGAATATTTTTGGAAAAACCTTCTAGTAAATTTAAAATATAAGGTAGAAATCAATTAATACTTTCATTCTTTTCTGAATTAAAATTTTTTTTAAAAACTTAGACACACAGTCTCGAAATGCTTTTTTCTCTAGGCGATCTTTTTCCTCTAGGCGATCTCATTTCTTCACCATAGGAGCATGTGTAGGGTTTATATTAACGTTCAGATGCTTTCATTTCTCACCCAATTTGGCTACAAGAGGATATGTTTGCTCTGCAAAAATTTCCTCCCAATGGCCATTTTTTTAAATTTATTATCTTTTTTTTTTTTTTTTTTTTTTTTTTTTTTTTTTTTTTTTTTTTTNTTTTTTTTTTTTTTTTTTTTTTTTTTTTTTTTTTTTTGAAAATTTTTCTGATCACCTCTTTATACCCGATGACATCTGATTCTTAAGAAAGTAATAAAATAAAATGATGTTGAACTCTAGTACATTGTCATCCCTTGTGAAAGTAAAATAGCACTGACCTATTAGACCCGTAGTTAATCCATCTGGAAGGAAGGATTATGGTAACGCATTATCCTCCATTTTTTAAGAACTCTTCATTTGAATAAGATTCATCTTTAAAGAGCTATAAAATTTCCTAACAACGTACATCAAATGTTTCTTTAAATTAATCTGATCATCATCCGATATAATTTATAATATTTATATTTTATTTCAATAACCACATCACATAGCTTATATTATCTGTTCGCTTTAGTATTATTTGATTAATTCTGATAACTCTGCGATGCCACTACATTCTGAGTATAAGTATTATACTCTGAATGTTATCTTGTATTTGTTAAAACTACATTTTAATCATTTTTAGATTTATTGACAGCATATATTATATTAAAACTGCAGTAATCAATACCAAACATCAGTAGTCTATCAGAAATATAAAATGTACTAAGATAGTAAAGTAAGTGGTATAAGAAAATTCTATTTTCTTATTTTTAAGTCTTCATAAAACTTTTTTTTAAGGAAAGAAACTGACCTTTTAACATCAACGTTTTTGTCTATTTTATATGTCATTTCTAGCATCAATTAAAATATTTTGTTTGTTGATTTTAAGTGCAATTTTTCCTTTGATTACCTATTTCATTTTTTGCATTCTGTTTGAATTTCTATTCTGAAAAAAGTTTTTACTGCAAATTGTTGTAATTACATATTTTATTATTCATTAACTTTTTTTTATTTTATTTTAGGGAGTAAGAAATTACAGCTCCAGAATCGGCCTGAATAGTAAAATCAAAATTGATATTGTAATATTAGGTTCAGTAGCAGTCTCACCTTGTGGTAACTATACTTTCTGTTTAAAAATGACATCTACCTTTACACCTATTTAATACTTTCCTATTGGTATTAACCTATAATGTACCAATGATGATCAGGGTTGGCTTTTTGCAGGCAGAAACTGGTTTTTGCCATGCCAGTGGCAGAAACTGGTTATAACCGGCCAAAACTGGCAGAAACTAAAAATATGAATTGCTTAATGACATTTTGTTTAAGTAAACTGAAAAATGTAACTCCATATAACTGTAACAAACTTTTTAATTCATTATTTGTAAATATACCGTAAACCGGGGCGAGTCTACCCATTTTTTCAGTTTGTCAACTTTCAAGTGGTCAAACTTTTGTAAATATTAAAGAAATAAGGCTTTTAATAGGTGTTTTGGAATCGCTATTTATCCCTCTTTAAAGCTGTGAAATCGATTTTAGAAAATATTAACAGTTACGCTGTTACTGTATATTTTTATAGAACTGCTGACAAATCTCTCGTATGGGGCGAGTCTACCCATTCTACTAAAATGAATGTTAACATTGTAAATAATCAAATTTTACTATTAAATTGTTATTTTAGTTACTATATAGGATATTTATGAAGTAAAATTCATA